ATGTATATACTTATTATTCTGTGAATAAATATTTTACAAGAAAAAAAAAAGAAGCTGGCTCGCTAGCCTGCAGGTCGGGTGTTCGATCCCTGCATTGGGCGAGAATGTTTATCCAGATTTTCCGGGGTGGTTTCCAGTGATGCAGGACGGAGGGTCTGACGAGGACAGCTGTCTAGTCATTTGGATGGTACGAAAAACCAAGTTCCCCTGACGCATTGGCGTGCACGTAAAAGATCCCTCGACAGTTGGAATTCGACATAAGAGTAGTGCCGCTGTCCGGGCAAAATTTCCCCCATAGCACACTGTATGGCGCATGTCCATCTTCATTAACCTAGTTCGGAGCATTGTGACAAAGTGATTTATATTTCTCACCAAATTCAACAGTATCATTTAGGTACATAGAACTTAATGAACTCAGCTAGTTTTAACATAAATCACTTTGTCACAGCATTTCATTTCATCAACGGGTATCTCTTTGACAGCTGACACTGTCTACTATACAATGTCCATAAGCGTACAGGGAAATTTTTGACTGGGGGGGGGGGGGCGGTGGTGGTTGGTGCCCAAAAAATGTAGTTAGGTTCTTAGTATGTTACATAATAATAATAAATTCGCTGTTAAATTGGACACATTCAAGAAGACAATATTTTTTTTATACAACTTTTACAAAGTACAATTGTGTGCCCAAATTTTCCCAGCATTTGGTGCCCAAAATGGGGGCCCCCCCCCCCCCCAGCTCGTACGCCTATGACAATGTCTGTATCAGACGTGGAGTATCGGGACTTCGATGTTGAATGGCATATAATTTGAACCTTCTGATTTAAATATACTTTCCCAGAAAAGTATTTATCGGGTGGTTATTTCCAATAAAAGTATGGCAATGTTGGTATATATCGAAAGTAGAAATATCCAATCTTACTAGAAAAATACTGGATTCCCTGAAAAGCACTCATGGAATGTATACAGGACAAAAATGTAAGGGTTCCCCTAATCGACAACCTGACGATTAGGGATGTCTGCTCGAGTGACATCAAAGCTTGCACGAGAAGATCCCAGTATTAGTCAGCGTTTGATGTATGTGTTGATAAAATTGATGGTTAGCTTAAGCGTACAACAGTATCTGATATAAAAAAAACGCGGAAAAAGACGTGGCCAGTGGATAATCCGTGAATTTAATTAGGCTTCGATATTTGTGATAAATAATCAGCGATTAAGGACACCATCGTCTTGTATATGCAATGAATTCTCCCCCGCCTTCGATACTGCTAGGTACTGTGACACGTGACTCAAACATGCCCTCTTTTAATTGATTTTTTTTATAGCAAGGGTATTCCCTCACAAATTCAATGTTTTGAAAAAGATGTGAAGCAAAATTTGGATAGATTAATTAGTTTGAATATGTTTTTAGTCCAAGTAACTTTAAATGGAACTACATGTATCTCATCTTTGATTTGGAGTTAGTCCACAAATGATACATAAATTATTCTAGTTTTTGGTATATTTATATTATAATTCCGCCTTCAACCTGGATATCGAAATGTCATTTTGTTTTTACAGATCTTCACAAGGAACACTTCCTTCTTGCAATTCCTACATTGCCTTATTCAAGTTCAATCAAACAACGCACTTCGAGGAATATAAAAGGTACACACACCCACACACAACTGTATGCATTTATTATATAGGAACAAATGACAGCTTGAAATGCAAAGTTATAAGAGTTATATTCACTAAAGTATAGATGGGGTTAAGTCCCTTTAATTCTATATTCACTTTTATACTGGCATGATTGGACTTTAATTAATATGTATTGTATTACCACAGATAAGAACAAAATAATTATTGTGCTATTTCTGTTTTAAACACAATCTATTCTATAAATATTTATTAAGTACAATATAAATTACCTGATTTGAAAACAAGCCTGAGTTAATAGCAAATCATCCCCCGATAGAAATTATTTACAGAAAATATAAATACATTGTTTAAAATTATAATCTTAAATTATATACTGGTATAAAATTACTCTCAATAAATTAATCAAAATATTAAATTAGATACAGTAAAACTGAGTTAATATCCTAATCAAAATATTATATTAGATACAGTAAAACTGAGTTAATATCCAGAACGGATTTATTAGTGTAGATTGTTCTTCGTAGTCTATTTACATTTCTATAATAAATTATATTGTATATCCGGTTTACGGAATTTTTCCAAGAACATGTTTTTACTCTTTGCTCTCCAATGTATTACAAATTGTATCACAGCTTCTTAATATCTGCTTCTTAGAAGTAAATATGAGCGGTACCGGACATTGTTGTTCTTTACGTAGAAATCTGATAAAGATATGAATAACATCTGTAAAGAAACTAACACGTCATCGTTTCCACATCATGTTCTTATCAGCTATAAGAACATGAGTCAGTGGCAATAAGATTAGTTTACAAGCAGAATAACTGATGTTTAAAACAGACTCTCGACGTCTAACATTTAAAAAGTTCCACGCATCAGCCAGTATGGATATTAGATTAGCCGTTCTCGTTGTCTTGGCAACCTTGTGTGGAGAAGGTAAGTTGGTATTTTAAATTTGTATATTTAACTTTAAATGGAATGGATTTGGATTTCTGGTCAATCAAAAATATATTAAAGAGACTATATAGCCTTTCGTTGATTTTCGGTGATGTAAAAATAATTTTCGATTTTACTATGTTGTTAAACTCGGCGTGTACAAATGAGATGGGTTTGAGACAAATATCTGCCTATCCATAGAAATGAAATGTGTCGTCGTGCTTTTCTGTACCATCCGGGCTAATGAAGACGGATACGTACGAAGTATTGTGCGGGGGGGGGGGGGGGGGTACCCAGACAGCGATGCTACGGCCAAAGCTTACGTCAAATTCCAACTGTCAAGGGATCTTTTACGTGCTCATAAACGAACCATTGGAAGGTGGAATATAGGTACAAACGCCGTTGTTAGGACATGACGTTAAACCAGTTCCTATTACTTGCAATGATTTCATGGATTAACAAAAGAGAGATCAGATTGAAAGTGAAAGTTGTTATATATAATAGCGTAGGCCTATTGAAAATGTTCGTCAGGGCAGTGGAATTGTGTCTAGATCACTGGAATTAACCGGATATTTCATAGCGTATCGTCATCACATGTGTTTTGGCCATTTTGAGTTTACAACCTATATATTTTCATTAAAGATGAGCGGGGCCACAACAAATCGTTTTCCAACTAAACCGTCTCTCACCAGTACACCCAAGAGGCTTGACAAAGTCGATTGTAGGAAAAGAAATTAACAGTCCGTCAATATGGCTAAAATATGGTGATTTCAATTTCCATTGCATAAGCGCCATGGTGATTTCAATTTCCATTGCTCAAGCGCAATGGGGATTTCAATTTCCATTGCTTAAGCGCCATCGTTTCAGCTTATTCATTTTCAAAAAAACAAGTAGAAATAGCCGTTTTTATACGAATCCACTGCTCAGGCATCCACATTTATGATATCTTTAGTTCATTTTACAAAACTGATTTAATCAAATGTGTTTTGGAGACATTCTGTAGATATACATCCATTAAATCTGCTTTTTTTAGATTCAAGTTTGAATATCGAAAAACGAGTAGCTCGTTTTTCGACATTCGCCAACATAAAAAAAAAGAGCATTTTCTAAGTGAATCCACTGCTGAGACCTCCTCATTTATGGTATCTTTAGCTCGTTTTCTCAGACATCCTCATTTATGATATATTTAGTTCGTTTTAGAAAACGTATTTAATCAATTGTGTTTTGGAGACATTCTCTAAATATGCATCCATAAAATTTGCTACTCGTTTTTCGATATTCAAACTTGAATCTTAAAAAAGTAGATTTAATGGTTGTACATCTACAGAATGTCTCCAAAACACATTTGATTAAATCAGTTTTGTAAAATGAACTAAAGATATCATAAATGTGGATGCCTGAGCAGTGGATTCGTATAAAAACGGCTATTTCTACTTGTTTTTTTGATATTGGCGAATCTCGAAAAACGACATTCGCCAATATCAAAAAAACAAGGAGAAAGAGCTTTTGTTATGTGAATTCACTGCTCGGGCATCCTCATTTATGATATCTTTAGTTCATTTTAGAATACTTATTTAATCAAATATTTTTTGAAGACATTCTGTATATATACATCCATTAAATCTGCTTTTTTAGATTCAAGTTTGAATATCGAAAAACGAGCTAGTTGTTTTTCGATATTCACCAATATCGAAAAACGAAAATCGAGCTAACTTCATACTGCCTGCTAATTACTGGTAGTAATGATATGCCCCTGTAGTTCTTAACACTGTTCCTTCGTCCTTTTTTATATATATAGGACATATCATCGCAGTACCCCATTCTGCTGGAAATGTGCTTAAATCGAAAATTTTATTAAAGATTACATTAAGAATTGGGACATATGTCGGATATAAACCTTCTCTCCCGCGGATGGATATGATAGAGAACACTTGGGCTTCGGGTAGGTAAATATCCTATACGACAAATATTATTATTATTTTTCTGAACACGAACCACTACCTCCTCCCGGGACAGTACTACCATCTCCATATTTCAGTACGTGATCCTAGTTATTTCACATCTCTACATATGATGGGTATTGCGCACGACGCGGGGAATACTTACATTTTAAAAACTATACCCCCACATTTTAAACTGATCACACAATGAGTCAAACTTGTCAACAATTTTTATTAATAATTTGTGTATTTATACATAGCTACAATCAGGGGCCATAATCCAAGATATAAACACTTATTTTTTAAGTTTAATCAAAATTAGATAAAAAAAAAATTGTGACCACTAGATGGTCCACAACCTTGATATTATGTACTTGCGTACTCAACCATCATAATGGTTGTTACGGCAGAATGCCGTTTCCCTTCTTATTTAGTCCTAGTCTGTAATTTGAACGTACCGTAATCCAAATCCGAGTTTCATACTCAACCGGTATTAGCGAGCGCCATTGGCATTGATGTGCAGAAAAACGGCATGTGTATTCGAGACCATGCATTTCTAACGCCTGTTACCCTCTCACAAGTTGTAAGTTTACTTGAGAATTATGTAAAAGTGTAAACAGATATCGCAGATCATTTCCATATTATTTTTATTCACTGTCAATTCATAATTCTGTCAAATTTAACGATTTACTTTTTCGGGTGTTTTTTCCCCACGCAAAACCGATATTGCTTGTCACGTGAGTGCAATTTCCTCGTCTGCTACATGTAACCATAGAACTAAATACACACACTGATCCGCAGTCAATATTCGCTTGGCCGCTACAGTCACTGATAAGGATGACATCGATGCGACTTAATGACTACAAAATATTAACTTTTTTCTTTCGACAAATTAAATTCTGAGACATTTTTTTTTAGTATTAGAAAAATAAATAAAGGTGTTTGAAGTATATCTTGATAAAAAAATATTCCATATTTAGCGTAAAAAGGTACAGAAAATAGTACGCGGAGGCGTGAAATGGGTAAAACGATATAATTTTGCCCGTACCAGTTCATATTACCCGTACCAGTTCATATTACTACGTTTGATGTAAACAACGCACGTGTGACCATCAATTTGACGTTTTTTTCTGTTTGTTTACTCTGAATTCTTTCAGAAGTACATTTTTTACCATCTAATCTGATTGACCTGCTCGTGTTTGTTTTAAAACAACAAAAACAAGCCACAGAAGTAATCTTTTTTGACGTTATCGATGCCATCTTGCTTTGTTGGTAAACATTGTGATGTGACGTCACCCTTAGAACTACAGCGGTCTGACCTTTTAAAGGTCAGTCATCTTGGACAGAGACAAAAGACGGATGTCGCATTAGGTCTGTAAAACAGATTGCTAAATACACTGGAACGCCAACGAGCGTCTACTTCCGGTAAAATTTTTGGCTGTGTGACGTGCTTCGAAAAAGTGCACGGTTTACTTCCGGTATCTTGTTATTATCACGTAATTTTGTTAGCCTGATAATGTTGAAAGCAAGCGAGTGAATTGGATTAAATATTTTTTCATTTGTGCTTCACTTCAAACAAATGTTGTGATCTTCGCTCATCATTTATTATTGATATAAAAAAAAATGTCATAAATAATGCAACAGGGTGTCAGGGAGAGTTGTAAAATGACGAAGAACTGGAAGCGACGACGTCGACTGGCTGCCAGCACAGTACAATTTACAAACTGCGCACTGTCTTTATAAACAGGTATGTTGAAAATTCACTAATGTCATTAGGCCTATAATTCATACAATCAAGTCATCGTTAATTTTTGAGAAAACATAAATGAATCGATTTACAAAAAAATAATGTAATGACTGGTTTAAGTCGGGGACGGAATTACGTACCAAACCCTTTTGTTTACTATAGACTTATAGAGGCCTGTCAGGAATGTGAATGAATTTCAAAAAGTTGATTTAGTAATATTTCAGTGAGCACAACCATACTTCTAATTTTACAATATTGGGAAACTAATAAAATAAAAGTACACAATAATGAATACTGGTATTTTGTTTTTAAATTTAAATTATTTGATCTAATTCAAAGAAAAATGTACAAATGGAATTTTCCTTTTGAATATTATTTCTTGATTCTTTGTAAAAAAATTCACATGATAATCAAGAAGAAAAGGATATCAGATTTGTGTCATTGAAGGAGTGGATTTGTATATAAATTAAGGCCTTGTTTGAGTAAAATTAAAAGAGCTATCAAGTGAATAATGCTGATTGAAGAAAGTTTTTCTTGTGCCAATTCCCATGGCATTACCTGAAATCAGTCGTACTTTCTTGGTATTGAGTCTGATTTGAATATAAACCCATCTGTAAAGTCATAATCTGTAAAATCTGACGCCAACTGCCTTTTTAATTTATGCATAAATTATATTAGTATAACTAAAACTGCATTTCTCTTTATTCAACTGTAAAATTTATTTGTAATTTGTAGACACAGAAATCACTGAAGAAACTCTATTTTATGTTCAAACATACTACTACTACTACTACTAATAATTAATATGTATTTTTTTTTTTTCAGAGCAATAATACAAAAGCCATTGTATTTAATTTTATGAAGAACTTTCATTTGATGTGAACAAGGAATTTCTAGCATGGAAGAAGGACAATAAAATATAATTCCTAAATAACCACCCGCACTGAGTGTTGATTCATCCTTAAATCCTAACTTTAAAATAGTTGTTGCACTGAATGAAAAGCAGGTTGTTATGCGAGTGCCTGAAAGACTTTGAAATATATTTCTTGTGAAGAATTGAAATAGACTCGGCTATCAACTGACTGTACATTATACACTTTCAGTTACACATTCTATTTTTTGGAAATAATTTTAATAAATATAATGAATGAAATCATTGGATTATTGTGAATATTTTGAAAATGTACTAGGGATAGAGACTGTCTATCTTGTCCACTCAATGAAATTATGAATTCTCCTCAATGTGTTTAAAGTCAATTTCTATTCAATTCATAAGATATGCAGCTCTTGTGTGTACTGGTACAGGTGTATTCAGTAAACTGTAAAATTTACCCACTCCCTCCTCTATGATTACATAAAACCATTTATTGTAACTTTGACACACGGATCACAATTTACAATAGGGTGAATGAAAATATGTCTTACATTGTTTCCGGCATAAATCTGGTAACTTTTCTCTCTGATCAAATGTGTGAAATTGTCATAAATTTATATAAATTTAAGGTTCAATGTGAATGCAACTATGGTATATTTTCTTGGGCAAATTTTCGAGATCCTAAAAACATTAGCTTCACACAGTGTCACTTCACTATAAGCATAGTTAAGAATAGTAATGTCTTTACATTTTGTGGGTCTCTATTATATTGCAAATACACATATTATAAACGTTTAAATCCACAACTTTTCATATTTCAAATTTATTATTTCCTTTTAATAAAAAAAAAATTATTTCATTCTGATTCACAGTACTTGGTGCCAATCCAAACTTAGTTTTGATATTTAATGCACTCCTTCATGCTTCCATAATACAGTATATGCAATGCTACCTGATGCACCACTGACAAAAGGGGAAAACAGGCAATTTTCTCAACAAACATCTGAATCAAAATCCAAATCTCCTTGATAGTGGGCAAACGCCTTCCTCCCTGTAAATGTCAATTTATTTTAATTTTATAAATCTTCATAACATGCTAAGAGAATTCTGCCTGCATATTTTGACTTAATTTTTGACAGCTGATCACTGTTTTAGAAATAGGTAGGCCTATATAAAAAATGAGCCGTAGTAGGCCTATATTATTTTAATTTTGCAAATCTTCACAAAATGCAATGAAATTTTCTGCCTGCTTATAATGACTTTTTTTTTGACAGTTGATCACCTTTTTTTAGAAATATGTAGGCCTATATTACAAGGCCTAGTAGTATTTTAATTTTACAAATCTTCATAACATGCTCCGAGAATTCTGCCTGCATATTTTGACCTTTTTTTGACAGCTGATCACAGTTTTAGAAATAGGTAGGCCTATATAAAAATGAGGACTAGTAGGCCTATATTATTATAATTTTGCAAATCTTCAAAAAATGCAGTGAAATTTTCTGCCTGCTTATCAAGACTCCTATAGATTTTTTTTTATTGCATTTTCTGTATGAAAATTCTAGAGTTATGTTGTATTACTCGTATAGGAATTAATACTGTAGTATTCCGTAGTTTGGCAATTGGATCACTACAGTTTTCTGTTGGAATAGAATGGGTACTACAGAATTCTATAGACTTTTTTTTATTAATTCTTATTTTGGGAATAAATATAATTGGCCAATGATTTATTCTAAATTGATAAGCTTATTTTTTCTCTCATGAATTAATAATTGCCGCATGATTTGACACCAGCACTTGCCGAACTATACAAGCCAAAGGCTACTTTCAAATACAAATTTAACAGAATTTTATTTTGTATTTCATTGGAATATTTCCAAATTAATATTTATTTTAAGAGAATTCAGCCAACACTTACGTCTAAAATGACATCGATAAACTGGAATTCCAAATACTCCGCCATAGCATCAGGCCTACCCGAAGTAAACATGGCACTTTTATCTTCGCGCATGCGAGGACGAGCATAATTCGCTCTAACGGGCTCGTTGGCGTTCCAGTGTATTTAGTTCTATGATGTAACTTTGTATTCCTTGGTAGGTGATGCATTGCATATTATGAGTTGTTTTAGCGCCAGCAGCACTCTCCAATACTTATTACTTATTGGTTATGTAGAACATATATGTTACAGAGTTTATTGTAAATACATGCATTTGTATTTTTATCTTTTCAATGAAACCGTTCTTCATTTGTTTGTTCTTCGTTCGTTCTTTCATCGTTAGTTGTAACCAGCTGTAATGTATCATTTGTTCAACGTACGTTTCATAGTCATCCAACGTACACAATCATCCAACGTTCATGTATTCATTAACGTAATACCTTCATTGTCATCATGTTGAACGAGTTTATCAAACATGGGTACAGGAATAAACGAATAACGATTGATTTTCTACTTCCTTTTTTATTTTTAACGAACCGTCATTGCAGGGGCAGGTGTAGCGGTTATATATAATATATTTAAAAGGTTTTTAAACAGGATAAAAATTGTGACATCTAAAGAGGCCACACGCTAAAGACGCGATTTTTTGTTCAACTAGGGGGTCATACTCCAGGCAATTACGGTCTGATAAGCGCAAATATCGAAAGGAACCAAGATCATTGGCAATCTGAATGACAGATCCACCCTACCAGCAGAACCAGCTACTATTTAATTTTCGTACGATAGTTACGTACGGAACATTGGGTTATAAGTTATAAAAATATATCTCAAGTTTCATGAAAATCGGTTAAAAATCATACTATCAGGGGCCATAATCCATGAACTTACGATCCGATACATTGCCAATATCACAAGGAACCGCGATCATTGGGAGATAAACCTATATTTCAAGTTTTGTCAAAATTGGATAAAAATTGTGACCAGTAGAGTGTCCACAATCAAATTGTGGGTGGACAGGGGCGACGACAATATATGCCCACATAAAAATGTGGGCGTATAAAAAAGGGAAGCATTTTTGTCATCAACTGATATTTATCAAAAAAAACAATTCCTTTGTTTATTTCTGGCCTAGATTTTTGGCTTGACCTAAGGCACGTGCCTTATATTTGCCGAATAAAGATGAGATTACTAAAGCAGGCACGTTTCATCTCAATGCCTTCTTATTTTATTTACAACAAGGTGGGGGTCTTCTCTAAGTGTGGATCAAGTTCATGAAAACCACAATTTATAGAAACATCATGAACAGTGAACGTACAGTTATGGAGGTTGATATCCAATTGCTAAAGGCCCGGTCCCAGTGGCCGATGGACACAAAACGTATGCAAAAAGGACACAGCGGGCGAGCAAACTTTCGGGCGTGGCTCCATCCGTTTTCATCTGCTCCAGAAATGGACAAAATTGACGAAAATTTGCGAAAACTGAACGGAAAAGAACGAACGTGGGAAGTATGTAGCGGGGATGTTAAAAGGATGTTCATCGGAAGCCTAGCGGATGGAAGTGGATGACAGCTCCGACAAACTCCCGACATCCTTCAATATACCAGATACATCCCAGATACAAACGCTTTGTCCGTTTTGAAAACTTTATATACGAGATGCATACGCTTACATCCTTTCTATTTCCGTGCTACTAACGATGTATAGACGTTCCATGTACCTTATCTTCCCTCCCTCTTTCCGTTTTCAGCTGGAGCGGATGTCAGTTGCGAGGATTCCCAGAGGATGCAGAAAGGATACAGTGGACGTTTAACGGATGATAACGGACATGGAACGTTTGGTGCTCGTATATGTCGCGCATTTACATCGTACACGGCAGAAAGTTCTTCCGTTATAAAAGTTTTGTGCAGCTCAAAACTTTTCGCGCGGATGAAATCGATGTGAACGGATGTTCGATGGATAGAGCGTATGAAACACGTATGCAATGAGTACCTAACGGATGCATGGCGTTTTCAAACAAAGGGCACGTTTTTTCCCCGTTTAACATCCTCTTTGCATCCGTAAGTGCAGTGGGACCGGGCCTTAACAATTTGCCACGATTTAGTGAAAAATTATGGACTGGACCATAGAAATTAAACAAGGTTGAGCTAAGTGTTGTGAACTTACAGTTATGGAGCCTAATACCGTCTGCCACATTTGTATTGTGCGGGCTTCATGTAATACGACACAAAAACTGATAAAGATTTACACACTATTTAAAGTGTTGCCACCTAATCGAATCAACATCTATGCCGACGAGGGGTGGATGATGCGTTGATAAGCATGCCTACACAATCCTAATTAAGTGCCTTGCAAATTCCTTTGCGATTGGAAACATAACAAAAATGGACTGATAGGGTGACTACTTTATGCACTTGAATGTCTTCAATATAATTTCAGGTTCAGGTTCCTTGAATGTGGCACTTAATAAACCAACAAGGCAAAGTTCAACGTACTATGGCGTTTCAGATAAAGTTGTAGATGGTAATACTAATCAGGATTGGTCTGGGGGAAGTTGTACACAGACTGATGACGATAGAGCAACAGAATGGTTGTGTGTCGATCTAAAACAGAGTTTTGATATCAGTAGTGTGAAGATATTTAACATATTAGATGACGGTACGTAAGATTATAACTAAACGGAACTGTAAGATTTGTAAGAGCATAGTAACGACTTTACCTTTTTGAAACTTTGTGCCCGAAAGCAGAATGATATCTGATGATTAAATATTAGAACAATAGTTTGCAATATATCCAGTTCAATAAACACAATTTTTACGTCGTTGTTTTTAGATGTGGAAATGGCGCCACTGAGTGACTGATTGATTGAAAAACAAAGCATTTGTCTCATAAAACATGATATTAAGTTTGTTAAGATTTTGCTCCTGCAATGACGATCCGTTGTAAGTATTTAGGTTACGAAGTGCACGTAACAGATCGATAGTCTTAAATTCCCACCCAATTTATTGGTTACAATATGCCAAGTACTTTAAAAGTGTTAATATTAATAGAGTGGGTTAAACAAATAGTAAATGTGGCAAGAATTTAATTTCTGATTATTTTCAGCATTATCACATTATTGTTACATACATTTCATATTGTTTTTAAATTGATGTTAGATGTGATACAAGCCCCACTGAGTGAGTTACATACAATTTATATTGTTTCCAGATACTGACACAATGATAGAATTTGAGATTGGATTGAGTTCTACTGGTAAATGTGATGAAGCAGGTTTTAGATCAGCTACACCATGTTATAAAGACCACACGTCAAAAGGACAATCTGTATATACCATAGAGAGATGTAATCAACCACCTGTACCATCATTATCGGCTAGATATGTTTTTGTTTCAACACATAAATATTTGACGTTATGTGAAGTACAAATATTCACAGGTAGGTCTATTACTGATTCAACAGTTTGCCAGTTTTGGAATAGGATAAGATAAGCAACAATTAGCAATCTTATTTCCGAGTATGTCATTATAAATGAGGCGCCCCCCGAAATTCTGAGACGCCTCATAATGACTCACACGATCACCACCACAATTTGATTGATGGGGCACCCAAAAACGGCCTAATCTGTGGGGTGTCTTATCCCGGAGGGAGCCCCATAATGACAAGTTTGGTGGAGTGCCTTATAATGACAATATATTATTGCCAGGCCATACATAATGCAGAGTCAGATTGGCGGGGCGCCCATACTGCCGAGTGAGGTTGGTTAGGCGACCACAAATGAATTGGTCGCCCAAAACGGCGTGATAGTCTGGAAAAATTCGCACTCTTAACTCGATTGTGAATTTTCGTTTATCTCTTAAATTATTATAGGTACGTTCAAGTCGTTTTCCTTCCTTCAAATTTAAAGCTCATATCAAATTCATGTTGAAATTGTCTGTCATTTTCAGGTGCATGCCCGATTTTCCAAAATTTTATGGTGGGGGGGACCCTTGAACTTTCGGAGGTGCTCCACGGTACAGTTTACCGTGGACCGTCGAGTGTGTACATCAACGCCCCCAGATGCCTTTGCCCCCCCCCCCCCCAACCCCCTAACAATTTTGGGCTAGCTACGAGCCTGTATCGTTACAATTCACGACAGGGGCATTACCCTCTGGCATTGCTCAAAAACCATCTTGTCAATGCGACTCCTCAAAGCTGTGAACCAATAAAATTCCATTCGAACACCCGATCAACATGAAACTCTCCATCTCTGTAATTCGTCCAAGAAAGGATTTTACACAGTTTGTCTGCCATATATATATATATATATATATATATATATATATATATATATATATATATATATGAATTTATCACTTACAGTGTTATAAACGAATAGGGCTCCTACATAACACCCTTCCGTATTCCCTATAAAATAGCTTTATTATATTAGTAATTATACTAATAATTTTGATATAATTAGTGACATAATCCTTTATATATTATTATTCTTCCTTTACTGAGAGAGTATACATGTTTTAAACTTTATATTTACTCTAGAAAATTGTCCTGATGGATTTTACGGTACCGATTGTAACATTAGATGTCCAGCGAATTGTACAAACAACGTCTGTGAGAAAATGTCAGGATCATGTTCTAATGGCTGTCAAGGAGATCTTTATGGTAAATTCTGTGAGTCTTCATGCAACACCAGATGTAAGAATGGTAAATGTAATGCTAGAACTGGGAAATGCACCGGATGTAAAGATGGTTACTATGGTGATGTGTGTGAAGAATCATGTTCTACCTGTAATGGTCCATGTCGACAATTAGATGGTGTTTGTTTGACTGGATGTAAAGATGGATATTGGGGATGTAATGGTTTGTGTCTACAGACATGTTCCTACTGTAATACAGGAGGCTGTAGAATAGAAGATGGCGTATGTCATAATGGTTGTCAAGTTGGTTTCTGCAATCCGAAATGCTTCAATAGAACAAGTAAGTCGTGTTTCCTGGCCATTCTCTATATAGATCCCTTTTCAGTGGCGATTCTTGTTGGCCTTGAATTATCGAAGTTTTGTTGATTAAGAAGTAGAAGGATATGAGAATTAACAGATAGTTTCCAGTTATTTCTACAGTTGATAGTTACTTTCAATAAATGTGTATTATCAAAGCTTTCACAGTCAGTACTAGCTTGTGACAGAAACATTGTCAGATATTGCTCCACTTGTGATATTAAAACTGTGAACAATACAGTCAGTGAATATTGTTAGTAGAGTTATCTACCTTGCCTCATAATGCATGATATATGAGATTTATTTCCTGAAGGAGTGCAACTCGTTATTGGCTTTAGCTAAAAAGTTCCACTGACCATGCTTAAACCGGGTTGTTATGTGGTTGATTATCCAGTAGAATTTCATCAAACGTTGACAACTGACCCAGATTCTTCGTACGTTGAAGACTAGAATGTTCCAAGTGCCCGAGACTATGTGGGGATGGGTGTATCAAAACTCGAGCGGCGTCTAAAATTATCGTTTCGTATTTGTTCTTAGTTTTTATATTTAATATTACTTGTGTTTGGTTTTCAGGTCCTTGAAATTAACCCGAGCAGGCCATTACCAAGAAATGAGGGAGGTGATAAGAAAATCAACAATGGTGAAAAACGAAGGAAAAATAAACAGCTTTATTGTGAAAATACATGTTTCAGTATTTCAAATAAATTTAATAAGCATATACATGTAAAGTAGAAATTATGGCCCAATTAAAGACTTTGCGACTGGTGGGTATAAAATAGAAGTTGGTTATGAAAATATCCCATGTTTTTGTTTAATTTTTACTGGTTTTTGTTCTTGCATTCAATCAATATGATTATATTTAAAGGGATAATAACACTCTTGCTGGCTTGAAATCTCCAGAAAATATATAATATCTCTATCTAAGTACTAGATGTTTAACTGTCCTACCTGTTGTGTAAATTATCCATTACATCCTATTTTACTTGTCCAGAGGGTTCGAAAATAATTTTAAATCGAAGTTTCATTTGAAAAGGTTTACGTTAGACGTTTCAAACCATTATGTTGAATTTTTCAAAATTTTTAAATAAGGTGTGTTAAGATGAAATTTGTATCATCAATTAATTGAAATATTCTAAAATAGCACAATTTGTTGACCAGAATAAAGATTGGGACATATTATTCAGTTACAACAAGAGTGGTATTGAGCCTTTAAATACTACGACAATTTTCTGCACTTATTGTATATTACTGTGAATACAATTTAAATTTTAAGACTTTTATAACATAAATTAAAACGCTTATCTGAATAAAACTTTAACACAATTCGTCTTGTTTATTTTATTTCCTGTTTGTTATGTTTTGGTGTGAGCTTATACAGGGGAGACCCAGGATTTATACATTTCATTCAATTGTAAGATAATTTCGTTTGATGTGATGAAACTATGGTTTTTAAATCGAAATATACTACACTACCTTAAACACTGGATCAGAGATAGCGAAATGGGGCTTAAGGTCCACTCGTAAAAATCTAGACCATTTTGGGACTGACATATTCAATTTTTTTCAATAATTCGCTTTCGCGTAGGGGTCTTTAGCAGTGGGGGGTGGGCGTAGGACCCGGAGAAAACCCACGACGTTGTACAGGCTACTCTACTCCTTGTCACGTACAACCAGGGAATTGAAACCGCCCTGTCCATCTTCATGATGAATACCCAATCTGTAAGGTTAATAGATCAACGTAAGATAAAAACAAATATACACGCTGAAATCCTAAGGAATTGGGTAGGGGTGTGCACTCCTCGGTGAGAACATATTTGTGGGACTGTAAAGGGAACTAGCCACCGTTTACTCTATCTGGAAACTGGTATTATTCCTTTCTATGAAAGAAGAAAAAGGCATAAACTGCAGACAATATATAAAATTATTAATGGAACGGTTCCAAATTATTTATCCAACCACATTAAATTAAAAACATCTCCATATAATCTTAGAAGTAAACCAGAATTAGATGAAATATTCTGCAGAACATCTCTCTATTACAATTCATTCTTTCCATCAGCTATCCGACTCTGGAACAGCCTAAATCCTTCCATAACAAATGTCTTATCACTCTCAAAATTTAAACAAGAACTGTCTAAACATGATCCGAAAATACCTCTCTTTTATTATATTGGCAAACGTAAAAATCAAATTATACATACTAAACTAAGACTAGGCTGCAGTAATCTAAATTTTCATAAATTTACAAGACATATTTCAAATACTCCCGAATGTTCATGTGGTAATTCAATAGAAGATCCTTATCACTATCTCCTTATATGTTCCTCGTATTCAGATGCTCGCCACAGAACAATCGACACTTTACCTCATACACAACAAAACATTAAAGTGCTATAGACCGGAGGCCGCTCAAGTTTTGATACACCCATCCCCACAGTCTCGGGCACTTGGAACATTCTAGTCTTCAACGTACGAAGAATCTGGGTCAGTTGTCAAGTTTGATGAAATTCTACTGGATAATCAACCACATAACAACCCAGACACCCGGTTTAAGCATGGTCAGTGGAACTTTTTAGCTAAAGCCAATAACGAGTTGCACTCCTTCAGGAAATAAATCTCATATATCATGCATTATGAGGCAAGGTAGATAACTCTACTAACAATATTCACTGACTGTATTGTTCACAGTTTAATATCACAAGTGGAGCAATATCTGACAATGTTTCTGTCACAAGCTAGTACTGACTGTGAAAGCTTTGATAATACACATTTATTGAAAGTAACTATCAACTGTAGAAATAACTGGAAACTATCTGTTAATTCTCATATCCTTCTACTTCTTAATCAACAAAACTTCGATAATTCAAGGCCAACAAGAATCGCCACTGAAAAGGGATCTATATAGAGAATGGCCAGGAAACACGACTTACTTGTTCTATTGAAGCATTTCGGATAGCAGAAACCAACTTGACAACCATTATGACATACGCCATCTTCTATTCTACAGCCTCCTGTATTACAGTAGGAACATGTCTGTAGACACAAACCATTACATCCCCAATATCCATCTTTACATCCAGTCAAACAAACACCATCTAATTGTCGACATGGACCATTACAGGTAGAACATGATTCTTCACACACATCACCATAGTAACCATCTTTACATCCTGTGCATTTCCCAGTTCTAGCATTACATTTACCATTCTTACATCTGGTGTTGCATGAAGACTCACAGAATTTACCATAGTAACCATCTTTACATCCGGTGCATTTCCCAGTTCTGGCATTACATTTACCATTCTTACATCTGGTGTTGCATGTAGACTCACACAAATTACCATAGTAACCATCTTTACATCCGGTACATTTCCCTGTCTTCCTATCACACTTATCATCCTTGCAATTGATGTTGCATGCAAACTTACAGAATTCACCATAGTAACCATCTTCACATTCTGTACATGACCCTATCGTGGCATTACATTTACCATTCTTACATCTGGTGCTACATGAAAATTCACATCTGCTACCATAAAGATCTCCTTGACAGCCATTAGAAAATGATCCTGACATTTTCTCACAGACGTTGTTTGTACAAATCGCTGGACATCTAATGTTACAATCGGTACCGTAAAATCCATCAGGACAATTTTCTAGAGTAAATATAAAGTTTAAAACATGTATACTCTCTCAGTAAAGGAAGAATAATATATAAAGGATTATGTCACTAATTATATCAAAATTATTATTATAATTACTAATATAATAAAGCTATTTTATAGGGAATACGCAAGGGTGTTATGTATGAGCCCTATTCGTTTATAACACTGTAAGTGATAAATTCATATATATATATATATATATGGCAGACAAACTGTGTAAAATCCTTTCTTGGACGAATTACAGAGATGGAGAGTTTCATGTTGATCGGGTGTTCAAATGGAATTTTATTGGTTCACAGCTTGGAGGAGCTGCAGTGACAAGATGGTTTTTGAGCAATGCCAGAGGGTAATGCCCCTGTCGTGAATTGTAACGATACAGGCTCGTAGCTAGCCCAAAATTGTTAGGGGGTTGGGGGGGGGGGGGGGGGCAAAGGCTTCTGGGGGCGTTGATGTACACACATGTTTATTTTGTCTTAAATATTGGATATCAGAGCCCATCTTTTCCCTGTAAGATCACAACATCAATGTTTATTTAAATTGAAAAATACTTCATGTTTTCAAAGTTGAAGACTGTGGATGATATTGCGTTAGAGACTTAGCTACTCTAAGCATATAATTCACCAACAAAACTTAATGAGCTGGTTCAGACATAGATCTATAAAGTCACGAAGACTTGCTAAAAATGTTGTTGTTTATTCCAACATACGAAGGAGGCAGAAAAAACATAACATATGATAGTGTTCTTTCGGCCGTGCATTTATTTTTAAAGCTACAGGTACATGTATGATTGGGTTCTATTCATCTACATGTTTACCCTTGCAAATTCGTTTTATCACATTCAAGCGTATACTTTCTTGAAAATGCATTATACAATACAAGACTACTAAATTAAACTATAAAACATTTAGTACTATGTCAAAAAGTGTCCATTGATTTAGTCAAATAGTGATTTTTTGGATTACGGACCACCATGACACATCCAAAGTTGAATGATAATCAGTCTACCAGAACTCTCAATACAGTTGGCATTATTTATATTTCTGCTCTTTTAAAATTTATTTCAATCAGAAAATCAATGATTCCCTTGGGAAATCAAATTATAGGTATAAACAATTTGTAAAGATGTAGGGGTTTCAGGTCAAAGTTCCAAATGACAGAAAAAATTTTTTTAAATATTTTGTGAAAATGTACATAAAATGCTACCCAAATTTTTTATTTCATCAAAATATTCTAATTAGATCCAAAGATTATGTAATTTTAAAATCTGAGATCGACGTCAATAATGTAATCAAAATGCTCTATACCAGTCAATGTGTTTCATGGCAACAAAATAAGTGCTTTTCAGTCATATCTGAGTGACGTCATAAGCGATATTTTCCCTTCAGAATTGCTAGTACCAATTCTAAAACTGAAATCCGCACGTTATAGTCAGCTAAGATTTATTAAAATCGTAATAATTTGAATGATAATATGTCAAATATTTATAATCTGGATGATACCACAAAAAAAGTAGGCTATATTTAGTCGAACTTTAGCAAATTCCAGTCAGCAAAACACATAAATCTCGTTTTCTACGGCTGTAATTGTCAGATTTCGAGGTATCGCACACCATAACAATCACAAAAATGTTATCTATCGTTTGATTGGTTCTATATGAAAATCTCCCGGAAACTAACGTGTGGATTCACCAATGAAGTGAGCCGTAGCAATGGAAAATCCCCGGCCGCGTGACGTTAGAGCGGTATTTTCCCGCGAGCGTCTCCTGTAAATAAACGGTAATTTCGCTTACATTTCGATAGTTTTTGAGCCCGAATCTTTGCAGATATTGAGATTGATATTAAACTATTACAATGCAATTGCTAGTTACACATTTACATAAAATAGTAATTCAGAATCGTAGATTAAAGTGGGCTATATTTCAGCCGCTGGCTGTCTAATTTCACGCTAAAGTCACGTGACCTGAAACCCCTAAAAGATGTATGGATAATTCTAACAGTATTGGTCGGGTGGAAAAAATGATTGAGAAATCATGTGACATAAACAAAGCTCTTTATAGGCATTTGCAAACTTCGTGGAATGAATACTCAGGAGTTTATAACAGCTTTTATTTTTCATTAAGCAATAAAATATCGTAAATAGCATAAAAAGGGAGACAATTTTTCAATATTTATGTTAAATATAATTCACAAAAATCAAAACCGAGATATATCGTGGTATGTTCGGTTTTTCAATATTTTATATCGAAAAACCAAATTATCCCTCAGCTCTACATTAAAGTATGCTTTTAGAACGATTTTCGTCTATTCTAGGATTCCTAGTAAGAATTGAGCTTTTCTCTCAAAAGTTTAACGCAGGTGTTTTTGATTACAATTTGCCTGTAGCAGTCATGCATCTCTTTATAAAGCATATCAGATCCGTGACATTTATCTCTCCCGGCACCACCTTGCCTTCTAGAATGGAGAATTCAATGAATTAATAAAATTATCTCACCATTTTACAAGCGAAGGTTTAATGTTGTAATCATCAACACAAAGACAGAATCGAACACTTCCGTTGTGTGTAGCATATCCTTATTATAGACATGGAACTAAACCGACATGAACGGTTCATAATTGCGTGTATTACTGGCAATGCTCGATTATTAGCTTAACGCTTTCGCTGCTGAGTGGCACTAAAAGACTGCAGGGCTGAATGCTAAGACGTTTAACTATAAATAGGTTTAATTTGGAATGGTTTACTTAAAATTAAATATCTTAACATACATTGAAACTATTTTGACAACATTTTCAGGACATCTTACTATAATATAGAATTAGGTCTTAAATTGAATTTTGATGCAGGTACGATGATTTTGTCAGTCATGTTGTTTATTCTATTTATAGAATATATATTATAGATCTAAATATCAAATTCACAATTGAAACGAACGATCTGCAAATCGCATTCTTGGACGTTCTAGTGACACGAAGGGGAGAACTCCTTATAACGGTTATGTATTCTAAAGAAACAGATACCAAAAACTATCTTTCATATAAATCATGTCACCCACGCCATACCAAAAATAATATACCCTTTTCTTTAGCTAGAAAAATATGCACTATTGTGATACATGAAGACCTCCGGGTTGTCAGATTAGGTGAGCTAAAAAGAAATTTATTGAAACAGTACTACCCCCTCGAGGTAATAGAAGTTGGGATAAATAAGGCTTTGGCAATTGATATTCAAACACTGAGGGCTACTAAAGCAAAAGACAGTTCGGATAATATCATTACCTTTGTCGCTACTCATAACCCCCAACATCCCAAATCAGTGTACGAGAGCAGGTCACTCCTGGCATCAAACGATAACCTCAGAACGAAATTTGATAATGTTCAATTCATTAAATCACAAGGACAGCCACCTAATCTCAAACGCCTCCTAACCAAAGCTAAATTCAATTCATCTATCACAAGGACCGGCTTTTATGTATCTAAATGCCTGGATCTTCGATGCAAATGTTGCGACCATATTACGCCAAATAACAAATATAATTTTCTTAAGTTTACATTTAGTGTCAACGACAATATGAACTGTGATACAAAAAATCTCATATATGTCTTGACTTGCAATGGGTGTCTAAATTTCTACATAGGGGAGACGTCCATGCATCTACGGGATAGAGTACGCAACCATCGACGGGATTGTAATATTGAAAATGGGCCCTTATTTGTAAATAGACATATCTTTAAAAGTGCACAAAACCTACAAGTTTGTGTAGACAGGACCTCAGTTTTTATACCTCAAAAGACTATAATTAGTCCGATGGAAGGCCCTCTGTCCTTCACCAGATAATCAAAAACTTTATTGGCCGAAATCAGGATCAAACATAGGATCTCTAGGTTGGCAAGCCAGCGTTCTTATTTACTGTGTTACTGTGGCTCTCGATATTTATAGGAAACAATTGACAACGATCCAGCCACTGCAGCTCCAGATGTTTATAGGAAAGAATAAACAGGTTATTGATGAGTTATGGACATGAACATTCTGTGAAGCACATTCTAATTATTTCACAACTCTCAAGATGGTGGTAGAATAAGCAAAAGGTATGTCGGCTATGTCCAATAGAAATGATCTGAAATGGGGTTTAACGTCCTACTGTTCTGCTCCGAACTGGGCTAATAAAGACGGGGTATGTCCAATATGCAGGTAGAATAAGTCAAGGGCGGGTCCATTCTGGAAGAAATAACAAAATCAAAAACCAGCTTTGGTGACAAAATGTGTTTTATTAAAATGAGTTAAAGAATGACAGTAGAATTTCTTCTGTTGCATTTTATGACATATAACATTATTGTCGCTACTCATAAACCCCAACGTCTTTAAAACAATGCACGAGAGCACGGCACTCCTGGTATCAAACGACAACCTCATTTTAAATCACAGAAACAGCCATCTAATCTGAAACTAAAATTCAATTCATCTTGGATTATATCGGCAAGGGATTCCTTTAAGGGAGTCTCTAACTATACTCCATCCTTATTGATTCTATCGGCAAGGGATTTCTACAGAGTCTTTATTTGATTTGATTATGTTCCAATTACTAAATGCCATTCAAAGAATATCCATGTTCATTGATCTATTAAATGTGTCTGGACCGCTTGTACTTCAGCCCATCAATCATGAATAGATATGAATATGACATCACATCTCATTGGCACAACTTCATGCTGTTTTAACACTTGACTTTCATATTCAAACAAACAACTGATTTCCATGGCAACAGCCTACTTATACAAAAACTACATGTTTGTTTTATTTAGTGAGTAAGACGCTGGCTGGAGGTCGCGGGTTGGATTGATCGAGGAAGTTTTCCCTTGTAAGTGGTGCAGGACGTAGGGCTTGACAAGGACAGCTGTCTAGTCGTACGGATGGGATGAAAAGCAAGATCCCGTGTACACATTGGCGTGAACGTTAAAGATCTCTTGGCAGTTGGAATTTGTTATAAGAGTAGGCCTAAACACCATGGTCAAGTCTACAGTCTACATATACAATAACTCTATGCATATACAAATCACAATTCTATGGAATACAATTACTGCTGATTACTGAGCGACGTTTCGACTAGGCTTCTCTAGTCATTATCAAGCAATGATAAAATATGAAAATATAACAAGACAATATATACATGTACACAACAATACTTGCTTAATGCTGACCAACCAGAGACACCCTTCTAATTAATTGACGGAAATCTAAGCCAGTTATATAAAATTGCTTCCAGATTAGATTGATATGAATATGAACTGGTAATGTTATGTAATACTGCTGAATGTGTAACCTATATCCCTGCCTATAAACCTTGATAATTCCAGTCTACGTTACTGAAGGTCTAGCCCATATCCCTGCCTATAGCCTCGATCATTTTCATCCTGTATTACTGGAGGTTGTATTTAAACAAATACAATACTTATTTAGCTTAATGAAATTATTTAAATTGTGAGTTGATCGCGTTGGATACATCTACGGCTAAAATAAATATACAACCATTAAACTGTAATACCGGAAATGAGTTTTGGCAAAGAAGGAAGGCCGCTTCAGTCTGATTTAATTTCACCAAATATTGAAAACAGGATAATGGTGAGTGTATTTTGGGAGCATTTTGTACAAAATATGACCCTTGTCTCATGGTTATCGTCCTGTCATATAGATGACTCATTGTCGATATGATACAAAAAAATAACTGGTATTCTTGTTCTTGGCGTTCAAACCAATACACTCGTAGTGGTTTTTTTCACCAAGGACAACATTACAAACTTATTAAGGGACTATCCCGATTTGAACAGAGTCTCAAAAATAAAAGTCTGAGTATGTAAGACATTTAAGCGCCAAAATATAGAGGAATGGTGTATTTACATGTACCTTGTCTCCATATTTCAACTCAAAATATTGAGTAGTTTTGACTCAGATTTCCAACATAATTTTAGTGTATGTTTGATTGGTATAACGTCATTTGGGACTCATGTCATTTGGGACTCAACATAAACGACATTTGGGACTCAGTTGACGACGTTTGGGACTTGAATTGGCGTCAATTGGGACTCAACACAAACGACATTTGGGACTCAATATTGTGAATATAAACGACAGTTGGGACTATTTATTTATGAGATATATAGTAACAGCTGTCTTAGTTGTCTTTCGTTTTATTTAGTTGATCGGCGATTCTTGAGACCGCGATTAACACTGCTAGTTCTCCTTTGTTTTGTTTTATCTGCGAGTATAAAACTTCTCCTTCGTTTTGTTTTATCTGTGTAACAGGACGGGGTGTTATCGATTTGCACTCGAGCGGTGGAAGTGACCGACTCTTATGCAAACCGGAAGTCCAGGTCTCTATACAGGATGTCAGGTTTCTCGCATGAACCGAAGGAAAAGAGAACACATTTATAAAGTTTCAAAGTTTTATTTCGGAAAATACAAAAACTGAAGACCGAAACGCGCGTTCGTAACTGTTGGTCTTCTTCCCTCCAATGGTGAACCAGCTGAAATAAAAGAACTCTGCCAAGTTCATCAACTATGTCTCTTTATCAAACAAAAAACTGAGCGTCCCGTCTACACAAAGTTCTATACCTTCCGAATGAAAACGGCCGATTGAATGAAAACTTAGGAAGGATATTGACAAAAATTGACGCCTGCCTCAGTCTGAATTAATAATATTCATCCAGAGGGTCGTCACAAATCTTACATCACCCAAACGGAAGCCTTAAATAATTAAACACTCGCAACTTTACAATAAATCATAAATATCATAACTTTTGCCTGCCTCAGCCTCAGCAAACAAATCTTATATCAACTCAACGGAACCCTTACAATAACGAGTAACTCACAATTCTACTAATAAATATATATACATCACAACTTTATGCCTGCCTCAGCCCGAACATATAACATTCGCACAGAAGAAGACAACGAATCTAACGTCACCCAAACGGAACCCGTGAAATAACTAGTAACTCAAAATTCTACCCATAAACCAACAATTTCCCTATAGTTGGGACGCCCGTCTTAGCCTTAAGGACTAAAGGCAAAACTCTACCCCGGAGATCGAACCCGCCCCGAGCGGAATAATGGGTTATTCCTGCGGAACTTGCTGATCACCGAAGACAAAGTCTCCCCTTGAGATGCTTACCACAGAGTGAAATAAAGAATATTCCAGCTGAGGTTCGCACCCCCCGACCATTCGACTAAGACTGACTTTAAGTGGCCTTATATACAATATCTATACGCTCTGTACTGTAGAATGCATGTGCATGAACCTTGACACGGATTTTAATCACAATTCAGAACCCGCTCTGCCATTGGCTGACTTGACCCACGCTATCCAATCAGAAGCTCCGAACTATCCATCTCCAGCCATTCAACAAAATGGCGGGTTTCTCTAGAATTTCCATGTGGTATGACCGGCAATTCAAGTTTGACGTAATAAATAGTCGATTATATAAGCCATTTCCATATATGGGCAAGAATAAGGCGTGTCAAAGTTTATCTCAACGCTTATCACCTACGAAACCCCCACATCTGCAAGTATAAAACTTGACAATAATATATTGTTGAAAATTTGTGTATATTTAGTAATACTTCATTGTTTTTCTTTTATCAAATAGTAAACGAACTTGATTGACCGACCACTGCTAATATTTTTTCATGAAACGGTATAACTGCAATCAACACACAAACGCCATTCTCGATGATTGACAACTCACGTTTTTCCTCATCCACCAAAGAACCGTTAGGTTTCTTTGAACATGCTGCAATAACATCGGGATTATAGGTTAATCAGCTTTAATTATCCCGCTTTGATCGTTGCCATTTTCCACAAAAAACTTTTGTTGTTCGCACTAATTTATCAAATTAGTATTGCCATCTACGACAAGCATGTCAACGTGCAGCTCACGGATTATCGTTAACAATTTCTAGGGGCTTGTAAAAAAGAGTGCATGTCGTTTAAATATTTATTTTGTTTTTTGTGTAGGTCATTTTCAAATAAATTCATCAGCATATTATTCGTTTTAAATAAATATATAACTTTTATGAGAAACGATGATTATCAAAGAACCGTAAGTGCAACTAATGTTTTATCGTTTGGTTGAGCCTTTTACTAACCACGTTTTTCATGTTAATAAATATTTTCTTTCATGTTTTGAATTGGCCTATTTCTAATAAATTATCCCGAGTCCCAAACGTCGTATACCCGCGTCCCAAAATGACGTATACCAAAGTCCCAAACGTCGTTTACCCGAGTCCCAAATGTCGTGGTCATATTTTTTTGAGTCCCAAATGACGCGAGTCCCAAATGACGTGAGTCCCAAATGACATGTAATCGTTTGATTAAGTGCTGAATTAGAACAACACAACAATCTCTTAGGACTATAAAAATAAATAATATTTTTTTCCCATTTTCTATCCGAGACGACAATGTAACGCTCAACATTTTATAAGGTGTCTAAGCGTTGATATTTAACAATAAGTCCATTTACATTGATAAAATTTGTTAGAATTAGGCATACAGTATGTCTTACATCGATCTATTCAATGACGCGTGCATTGTTTACAAAAAAAGTAACTGGTTTGAACAGAATGAAGCCTTTTACTCATTTTAATACCCATTATTTGTACCTACAAATAGGAAATAATTTGTACCTACAAATAGGAAATAATTTGTACCTACAAATAGGAAATAATTTGTACCTACAAATAGGAAATAATTTGTACCTACAAATAGGAAATAATTTGTACCTACAAATAGGAAATAATTTGTACCTACAAATACTTCAAACATCTTTATTTATTTTTCTTATACCTAAAAAGAATGTTTTAGAATTTTATTTGTCGGAGGAATAAAGTTACTATTTGGGACTCATTAAGTCACATCGATGGCATCCTTATCAGTGGTTGTAGTGGCCAAGCGAATATTCACTGCTGATCAGTGTGGTATTGTGTATCTAGGACTCTTTTCCATGTTATTTTTGTGGTCACAAAATGTCAAAGCTCCACAACAGATTATTTTGTTATTTGTTTGTGTAATATATAATTCACAGATTAAATACAAATTATTGTAAATAATTAAATCAAGAAAATAAATTTTGTAAAGATATAACAATTGATATTTTCCATGCCTAGTTATGCCAATTGATAATTCATCTATAATTTAAAAATTAATGGGAATAAACAGTCCATTGAAAGTTATTATAAGGTTGAAATGACATACTATTATCTTAAAAAAGTCAGACACACATTTCTAAACCTCAAAGGGTCATTAATTATCATGCAATATCTGTGGTTCTTTATTGGGGGGTTGGATGGCCGAATGGTTAGCACGTGCGTACTGTATCATAAGACCTGTCATTGAGTCAACTGGCGTGGTTTCGAATCCCCGGTTTTACGTGACAAGGAGGAGTTTCGCCTGTCCAACTTCGTGGGTTTTCTCCGGGTCCTCCGGTTTCCTCCCACTGCTAAAGACCCCTACGCGCAAGTGAATTATTGAAATAAAATTAAACCATATGTTAGTCCCGAAATGACCTAGTTTGTGTCGAGTGGACGTTAAACCCCATTTCTCTCTCTCTCTGGTTCTTTATTGCTACCTCGGGGTATTATTACGTAAACACTCATATGAAGGAGCAAACCCACTAAGCTATCCCAATATATGACTTTCAAATTCATAAAATAATCCCTTTGTATGAATTAAAATAGATACCTAAATGGCATATTATTACATTTTTTAAAATCTTCCTATTGGCAGTAATATGTCCCATTACTGTGCAAAGAGCCCCATTTATATGTGGCAATCCTTGTTAACTGCCCGGACGACTTAGCAACCTATCTTTATTGTTATTCATCTAATTTGTTTCAAAGTACCATCACAGTATTCTCAAATTTGTTATAAGCAATAATGGTGTGTAATACTATAGGGGTTAAGCAATAATGGTATGTAACACTATAGGGGTCAAGCAATAATTATGTTTTTAATTAACTGATGGTGTTATACCTTTTATACATGACAGGATACTAATGATGGTATACCTATTATATATTACAGGAAACTAATAATGTTATAAAGATGTTAGAACTTTTGTATATTATAGGAAACTAATGGTGTTATAACTTTTATATATTACAGGAAACTAATGATGTTATAACTTTTATATATTACAGGAAACTAATAATGTTAAAACATTTCATCAATGTGTTGTATGTGGTGAGATTTTTCAACAATATGATGATTTAGATCATCACACCAAAATACATGTTAAAGAAGAGAAAACTGATGATATAGATGAATATTTTTATGTTAAAGAAGAGAAAATTGATAATGTAGATGAATATTGTCATGTTAAAGAAGAGACAACTGATGATGTAGATGGATATTGTCATGTTAAAGAAGAGAAAATTGATGATGTAGACGAATATTGTCATGTTAAAGAAGAGAAAACAGATGATGTAGGTGAATATTGTCATGTTAAAGAAGAGAAAACAGATGATGTAGATGAATATTGTCATGTTAAAGAAGAGAAAACTGATGATGTAGATGAATATTGTCATGTTAAAGAAGGGAAAACTGATGATGTAGATGAATATTGTCATGTTAAAGAAGAGAAAACTGATGATGTAGATGAATATTGTCATGTTAAAGAAGGGAAAACAGATGATGTAGATGAATATTGTCATGTTAAAGAAGAGAAAACTGATGATGTAGATGAATATTGTCATGTTAAAGAAGAGAAAACTGATGATAATGAAACATGCTATCAGTGTAATTTGTGTGATGAAGAATTTAAATCTGACACTGATTTAGAGAAACACTGTGAAATACATCTTAAAGTCGAGGAGACCAACGACCAAACAGAACAGATTTCAGGACAATTTAAAGATGGTGATAAGTTTCAAGATCAGATGGGTATTAAAAGACCATATAAATGTGATGTTTGTAGTAAATCATTCACCAGGAGTAGTGATCTACAAACACACATCAGAACTCATACAGGTGTAAAACCTTTTACGTGTGATGTTTGTGGTAAATCATTCACACACCATGGAAACCTACAGAAACACCTGAGAATTCATACAGGTGAAAAACCTTATAGATGTGATGTTTGTGGTAAATCATTTACCCAGAATGGTGGTCTACAGCAACATATGAAAACACATACTAAAGAGAGAGTTGTTGTATGTCATGTTTGTGGTAAATCATTTTGTCAGAAATCAGAAATTGTGAGACACATGAGGACTCACACAGGTGAAAAACCATATAAATGTAATTTTTGTAGTAAATCATTTAGTCGAAGAAATAGTCAGACGGCACACATGAAAATTCATACAGGAGTGAGACCTTTTATATGTGAATTTTGTACGAAAACATTTTTATGTAAGGGTGAGCTAAACAAGCACAGGAGAATTCACACTGGTGAAAAACTTTATAAATGTAATTTCTGTAGTAAATCATATGCCCTGAATTCTCATTTAAAAATACACATGAATAGCCATACAAAAAAAGACACTTTTGAATGTGATATTTGTGGTAAATCATTTTCATATAAATGTCATCTACAAAAACACATAAAAATTCACACAAAAATATGACATTTTAAAATTTATGGCATGTGATGTTTTGTGGTGAATAATTTTCTGAGAGTTGCCATCTACGCCATCATTTCAGACCTCAGCATTTGTATGTCATTTTCTCATTAAAGAAATGAAATGTGGTGTAGCATCCTACTGTCTTGCTCTGACTAGGCTTAAATGAAGTTGGGCTTACGTCCTGCAGCGTGCTACATATGTATGAGGGTTAGCTTGCCTGGAAATCGGGACTATGTCTGTATCATGTATCTAATATCTAATTCCAACTGGCCAGGGTTATTTTACATGCCTGAGAGTTGGCAAAAAGCTCAGTGTATAGGAAGAAGTTCAGTGTTCTGATGTTTGAGTATAAATAATCCAAATGGTATTGTGGGAGGGAGGGCGGAGACAGTGGACGATATTGACAGAATTGAAAAGTAAAAGTCTGTGCGATCGACAGTTATTAATTGAATTGTCTGAAATTCTTCTAAAAGTCTCGACAACCGTAGGAAGTGGTAGAGATGTAAATGTTCAGTATTCAAGTCTTGATTCTGTGAAATAAAACACATGTTGTCACAAGAGTTGTTTATGGTTTATTTAAATGTAAGAGCTAAATCTGCCTATTGTAGGTCTTTGTTTTGGCTTAAATTGTTATATAAAATATTATTTAGAGGTTTATGAACTTGACAAGCCCAGAACCACCTCACTAGGTCATCAGATGGGAAATGACAATTTTGCCATATTTGTTTCCAGGCATATAGCTCAGTGCATCTTGTATCCAGGTGCTAAGCACAACATTCTCCAAATATTATTTGAGGAGGGTTCATCTTTTATATATAGAGGGCTCTGCAAATGTTTCTAAATTTAGTAACATTTGCCACAATTCGTAACATGCGGCGGGAGGTTGACGAATGGTTAGCACATGATCGCTGTATCATGAAATGAAATGAAATGGAGTTTAACGTCCTACTGTTCTGCTCCTAACCTGGGCTAATGAAGACGGGCATATGCCATACAGTGTGCTATGAGGGAAATTTTGCCCGGACAGCGGCACTACGGCCTACTCTTATATCGAATTCCAACTGCCAGGGGATCTTTTACGTGCACGCCAATGTGTACAAGGGACCTCGATTTTTCGTCCCATCCAAACGACTAGACAGCTTTCCTTGTCAGCCCCTCCGTCCTGCATCACTGACAAGGGAGAACCACGCCGGAAAATCTGGATGAACTTTCTCGGCCAATGCAGGGATCGAACACCCGACCTCCAGGCTAGCGAGCTAGCATCTTACTCACTTAGCCACGCGATCCCCCGCTGTATCATTGAGTTTCGATTCCCTGGTTGTATGTGACAGGGGGGTTGGATGGCTGAATGGTTAGCGTGCGCGCGCTGTATCATAAAGTCTGTCATTGAGTCGACTGGCGTGGTTTCGAATCCCCGGTTGTATGTGACAAGGAGTAGCGTCGCCTGTCCAACCTCGTGGGTTTTCTCCGGGTCCTCCCACTGCTAAAGACCCCTATGTGCAAGCGAATTATTGAAATAAAAAGTAAACCATATGTTAGTCCCGAAATGACCTAGTTTGTGTCGAGTGGACGTTTAACCCCATTTCTCTCTCTCTCTCTCTCTCTCTCTCTCTCTATGTATTCTGTGATATATTACAGTAAACATACTATAGATAGGATAAAAGATTATACATGTACAATTAAAAGTAATAACATTGAAGAGGGGTTTGAAAAATCCTCTGGTTCCCCTCACTGTTAAAGATTTGTATGTGCAAGCGAATTATTGAAATAAAATGTACAATATTATGTTAATCCCCAAATCACCTAGTTTGTGATGAGTGGATGTTAAACCCAATTTCTATCTCTGTTTATAGTATTTGATAAGGAGTTGGCTCATCTGTCCAATGAAATGGGGTTTAACATCCTCCTGTTCTGCTCCGACTGATCCAATGAATACGGGTATACATACGCCATACAGTGTGCTGTTAGGGAAATTTTGTTTGAAAAGTGGCACTACGACCAACTCTTTATATCGAATTCCAATGGCCAAGGGATCTTTTATGCACACATCAAATTGTACACAGAACCATCCCAACAACTGTCCTTGCACAAATTGACAGATTACAAATAAGCTATATGAACATTTTGTGTTGCACTTTCTAATTATTTCACCTCTTTTAAACATACATTATGCAAGAGCTAAATCTGCCTATTGCATGTCTTTCTTAGGCCTGAAATGTTATCTAAATTATCAATTCGACATTTATTAACTTATCCAGACCATAATGAACCCTCCTTGCCATCGCTAGCCTGCGATATTTACTGAATTATAATCCTATCTGCTGCTTAACGTCCATTAATAATTAAATAAAAAAAATGGATAATCGAGACTATGTTTTTTATCGGACTGACTTTAGTAATGATGATTGAGGCTAGGCTCAAAATTCAGTCGCTAAAATCTTGGTTCAAAGTGGATCAATTTGACTGAAATTTTCAGCATTACTTTACATTATCTAGTTTTGAACTATTATAGCGAGAACTGCCAGCCCTTTATATAATCCCCCATAATGTATCTTTAAGATGAAGTGTGGTGGTAGAATAAGTCAAGGATATGTCCACACTGGGTAGAATAAGCCAAGGGTATGTCTTCACTGTGGGTAGAATAAGCCAAGGGTACAATGTATGTCTCTTTTTGATGAAATAACAAATCAAAGACCAGCTTTGGCGACAAAATGTGTTTTATTAAAATGATTCAAAGAATGACAGTATGTTGCATCTTATGACATATAACAGTAAACATACCAAAAATAGGATAAAATAGTAAGACACAGTAATGATAAAAGATCACCAGAGATCAAATGGCAAGCTGAATCATACCGTGGTTTATATAATGATTGTTATCCATAGTAATAGACTGTATATTACTATATTAATATACAGTGGGGTGGGGGGCGAGGGGTCTCTTATTGAGTGAAGTGACATGGTTTCAATTACTGAAATAAACGTGTACTATACATTATATCTACTTTATGTCCAGCTGACGTTCAACACAATTTATCTCTATAAAATATGGTGCTTCGACCACAATCAGATTAAAATACAGATCTATATTTCGTTTCATTTTTTATATATTCGATGGCCTCACTACATGCAGATCTGATCAGTTTTACTGGAAGGTCACATCAGGGGTCACATGAGCGACCTTTAACTCTATGACGTCAGACATTGATTGATTCAATCAGCGTTAACGTTTCTAGTGGTTTACCCACAGTTCCGTGTAAACCACGCCCAGAACTCGCCATAACACACCGTTTCATTGGCTAATTCCTCACAGCATCTAGAACATCTGTTATATAACAAATCTTCCAGATCCAAGTGTAGTAAAGACAAGTAAAAAACGAAACGAAACGAAATAGGGTCTGTGTTTTAATCAGACTGCTTCAAGCAGGTGTTTTCGTGAATTTTGATGCGTCTTTGTAGATTAGATTTTTTAGTAAATGATTTACCTCAAATATCACATTTAAAGGAGGTAAACCGCTAATACTTGCCACCTAGAAATGGACACAAATGGGTCGCAACGCATATAATAATTTCATATTATTGTATATAAAATGATTTATATTCAATCATTTCCATTTTAACTTGACTGTAATTTCAAATCAGTTATGTTCGGCAAAATACGCCAGAGACAGGGTGACCCACCATAAATAAATATCTCCAAATATCTCGACAATTACGCCACAATATTTATATATATACCAAGCCTTTAATCAGTTTCACAAAATTATAGTCTCTAAATAAACGATCATGTTGTACTTAAAAAGCTATGACCATTTAATCATCTATAAATAATAGACTGAAACTGGTTTCGAAGTGTCGTCCATAACATCCAGATACTTTTGAGTAAAAAATAGTTTACGTGCCCTTGTTTTGAAATTAGTTTCGCTTAACCAGTGTACCAACCATTCTACGTCTGATTGACAGGTCGGGATAATCAAGACTACCTTTTTACGAAACATAACAGAAAGCTGGAACAAGAAATTGAATTTAGAAACATGCACGTTAGCCAGCTCAACAATTGTTTTAAGAAACTTGTAAAAGTAAAATGTAACTACTGCTAGTATCATGTTCCTGCTAACGAAAGTGATTCAGAGATATTATTTGTACTAAACCAAAAGATACCGCTCTTAACGGTACAGTTAATGATAAAGCAATTTAAAAAATAAAACGCACATAATTTCTAAGGCTGCTGTAATAACCAAGAAGCTAAATTTTACTGCTATTCAAAATTGTCAACAATAGATTTTTTACGGCTGTAATAATTGATAGATTTGTAGAGAATTGCACGTGCCATGGCTATTTATAGTAACATACACTCCACTGCTGATAGTTCGAGACACAACCACTGAAGCGTGCACATTAGCCGTGTCGAGACCAACTTTCTGTAGAGTGCACGGGTCACCCTACCAGAGGTCTCAACTGAATGGCAATCTCTAGCGTCTGGTTATTCCAGTAGAGTGCACGGGTCACCCTACCAGAGGTCTCAACTGAATGGCAATCTCTAGCGTCTGGTTATTCCAGTTTACACCGATATTATTCAATGCACACGCTCTCCAGATAAGAATATGGCGTCACCGTTTGACATGACTTGTGGAATATGTCTAGCCTCGTTCTGCGAGTCCCTTACTACAAATCATGCATTATGGTATAAGATTCATGTAGCAATGGTAAATGAAGTGAAATGAAATGGGGTAAAACGTCCTACTGTTCTGCTCCTAAACTGGGTTAATGAAGACGGGCATACGCCATACAGCAGTCATTGTTTTTTGAGGCACTATGGCCTACTCTTATATTGAATTCCAACTGCCAAGGGATCTTTTACGTTCACGCCAATGTGTACACGGGACCTCAGTTTTTCGTCCCATCTGAACGACTAGAGAGCTTTCCTTGTCAGGCCCTCCGTCCTGCATCACTGACAAGGGGAAGCCACGCTGGAAAATCTGGATGAACTATCTCGGCCAATGCACTGTTTAATATGTTTGTTCTCCAGTATGAAGGGTCATGTGTCGCTTTAGACAGCCATTCTGACTAAATGATTTATTACAAACATCACATGTATATGGTTTTACACCTGTATGAATTCTCATGTGTTTCTGTAAACCACCTTTCAAGGTGAAGGATTTATTACAAATATTGCATTTAAAAGTTTTTTCACCTGTATGAATTGTCATGTGTTTCCGTAGATCACCACTGATGCTAAATGGTTTAACACAAAAATATGGTTTTTTACCTGAATGAGTTTCGATGTGGCGTTTTAAACTACTACTCTGACTAAATGATTTATCACAAACATCACATCTATAAGGTTTTTCACCTGTATGAATTCTGGTGTGTTTCTGTAGATCACCACCACAGCTAAAAGGTTTACCACAGAAATCACATTTATAAGGCTTCTCTGCGGTATGAGTTTTAACGTGTCTGTGAAGGGTACCGCGATCACTAAATGATTTATTACAAACATCACATGTATGTAGTTTTACTCCGTTGTGAGTATCCATGTGACGCTGTAAATTATAACTACTGTTAAATGATTTACTACAAACATAACATTTATAAGGTGTTTCACCTGTATGAATAACCATGTGTATTTGTAAATAAGAATTGCTGCTATACGATTTACCACAAACATCACATTTAAATGGTTTGAAAGTGGTATGAGTCCTCAGGTGAATGTGAAGGAAAGCGTGATTAGTGAATAATTTACCACAAACATTACATTTATAAAGACTTTCTCTAGTAAGTTCTACGATCTCCTCTAAGTTAACATGTATTTCACAGTGTTTTTCTAAATCGGATTCAGATTTAAATTCCCCATCACACAAATTACACTGATAAACAGTTTCAATATCATCAGTTTTCTCTTCTTTAACATGACAATATTCATCTACATCATCAGTTTTCCCTTCTTTAATATGACAATATTCATCAACATCATCAGTTTTCTCTTCTTTAACATGACAATATTCATCTACATCATCCGTTTTCTCTTCTTTAACATGTATTTTATTATGTACTTGTAAATCATCATATTCTTGGAAAATTTCATCACATACGACACACTGATGAAATGTTTTAACATCTTTAGTTTCCTGTAATATATAAAAGTTATAACATCATTAGTTTCCTGTAATATATAAAAGTTATAACATCATTAGTTTCCTGTAATATGTAAAAGTTATCACATCATTAGTTCCTGTAATATATAAAAGTTATAACATCATTAGTTTCCTGTAATATATAAAAGTTATAACATCATTAGTTTCCTGTAATATATAAAAGTTATAACATCATTAGTTTCCTGTAATATATAAAAGTTATAACATCATTAGTTCCTGTAATATATAAAAGTTATAACATCATTAGTTTCCTGTAATATATAAAAGTTATAATATCATTAGACCTGAAATATATAAAAATATAACATCTTTAGTTCCCTGTAATATATAAAAGTTATAACATCATTAATTCCCTGTATTAAACAGAAATTATTGAAATGAAATAGGCTTCTTCATCTCACCAATGTGAGTAACATAAAACAATCGGATCATAACTTTTGGCGTTAGAGTGTTCACAAGAAATTGTGGACGACGGATGGACGTAATACACTGACGTAATACACAGAAATTGCTGAAATTCAATAGGCTTCCTCGTTTCCCTAATTTAAATAATGCATTTAAATTTCACAAAGATCAGATGTTAACTTTTGTCATTAGAGCGTTCACAAGGTTCAACAAAGTGAAAGAAGGGTCATAACTCTAGACGTTATAAACAGAAATTACTGAAATCATCTCACTAATCAAAACAACATATATCAATTTTAAAACAATTGGAAGATAACTTTTGACGTTAAAGCGTTAATCACAAGAAATTATGGACGTACGGACGGGGGCGACGGCAATATACATCCACATTTCTATGTGGGCGTATAAAAAGTGCGACATTTTTTTTCAATATCTATGATAAACATCCTTGGTTACGATCCCTGCTATCACTTACCATCACACAGCCGAGGATAGATGTAGGGTACCAGATGTGGTCCAGATGTTGAGGTTTTCCCAATGAAAAGAAGTGCGTAGGACAGACTTCGATGACGTTTTCAAGTCGGATTCAAATGATGCATTATTAATTTAAACGCGAATATTTGGAAAAAGGAGATAGTTCTGTCACTATCATTGGCCTCTGTAGGTTTAATTAGTCATAATAGTATAATGGAGAAGTCAATGAATTAATAAAAATATCTCACCATTTTACAAGAATAATCGACTCGTTGTTCTAATCAACACAAAGACAGAATCGACCACTTCCGGTATGTAGTACATATTTATTATGGCCATGGACTAAACCGACACGAACGGTTCATAATGCTCGATTATCAACTTAACTCTTTCGCAGCTGAGTGGCACTAAAAGACAGCAGGGCTGAATGCTAAGACATTTAGCTATAAAAAGGTTTAATTTGGAAGGAATGGTTTGCTTAAAATTAAATATCTTAATATAAAATGAAACTTATTTTGACGAAATTTTCAGGACATCTTACTAATATAGAATTGGGTCTTAAATCGAATTTTGATGTAGGTACGATGATTTTGATGTAGGTACGATGATTTTGTCAGCCATATTGTTTATTCTATTTATAGAATAATATATATATATATAGAATGATTATTAAAAAAACTCAACAAAGCCTATTTATGCTTATGCCTTATGTCAGTAGAATTACTGTTTCTTCGTTGGAATTTGTCGTCAATTGTTCACTTCGTTATCAGAGTCAAAATTTTCATATTCTGATCTTGAATCTAAGAGAATAATCTTAAACAGCTTTGTCCGTCGAAATATGTTGATTTGATGCCATTTTCACTTAACGCTTTTGCTCAAAACCATTCAAATATCTCGATAAAACCTTTTTTCTCAAGCTAACAAAGAACTTCCTCCAGTTATACTGTTGACACCGGTGTCTATTCTTAATAACATCTTTCACGCATTGTAAAGAATTGCGTCACCTGTACTAAACTATTAACATCAGATTTGTTGATAATAGTCGCCTGCTGCAGCGACCGGTCTAGTGGATAATAGTCGCCTGCCGCAGCGACCCGTCTAGTCGATAATAGTCGCCTGCCACAGCGACCCGTCTAGTCGATAATAGTTGCCTGCCACAGCAACCTGTCTAGTCAATAATAGTCGCCTGCCACAGCGACCCGTCTAGTCGATAATAGTCGCCTGCCACAGCGACCTGTCTAGTTGATAATAGTTGCCTGCCACAGCGACCTGTCTAGTCGATAATAGTCGCCTGCCACAGCGACCCATCTAGTTGATAATAGTCGCCTGCCACAGCGACCCGTCTAGTTGATAATAGATGCCTGCAGCAGCGACCCGTCTGGTTGATAATAGTCGCCTGCCACAGCGACCCGTTTAGCTGATAATAATCGCCTGCAGCAGCGAAAGAGTTAATCGAGGTAGTACGATTTACCCAAATCAACCCAAATCTCCCAATATCCACAAAAATCCACCATAATTTCTACTCATTCCACAATAATAAGTATCGATATTTGATGATATATCATTCTTCATACCAATTATTATTGTTATTATTATGGTACTTTTTATAGCCCATCTTTCACATAAGTGCCCAGATGTGCTTTACAATAAAATAATTAAATAGATTAAAAATAAATAAATAAATAAAATTACACTCAAAAGAGGTCTAAATGTTAAAAATCAAATCATTAAGCATTTAAAAGGAAAGTTAAGAAGTGTTATAAAAGGCAATTTTAAAAAGATGCCTTTTGAGTTTTGATTTAAAAGCAGTTAAAGAATTACAACATGGTAATTGATGGGGCAGCTTGTTCCATAGTTTAGGTGCTTTAAATGAAAAGGCCTTTTCTCCGTAGGAAACTTGTCTGGCATTACGTTCAATTAATATGAACTTGTCTGAGCTGGAACGGAGCTGTCTTATAGGTTTATAAAATTGTCATTTTTATTTAAAACCTTAATGTGATAAAGGCCCTTCAAAATGTGATTACCATTCGCTATACATTGAAACATTCCAAACGACTTCCCAGGACCTGATCCGAGCCCTTGGTGTGTTCATGGGCTTCCTATGCTCCTAATGGGCTTGTAGCATTGATGGTCACTCGCATGGATCCCAGTACGAGCCTATTGAGCACCTGTTGGGACCCATCAAATCTACTGGGGTCCAGTGAAGTGGTTTCTGGTACAATTGTCCCCTGACAGTTACATCCCCCTCGCCCCAGCAAGCGATGCATAAGAATTGTGGGCCACTGTAGGTGGGTCATGGGTCAAATTAGTCATGCATAAAATGGTGGGCATTCTAGGTGGGCAATGGTTCAAGCTAGGCCACACATACATTCAGTGGTTCAGTCTTGGTTGGTAATGGTTCAAGTTAGGCCACACGTACATTCAGTGGTTCACTCTTGGTTGGTAATGAATAACACTAGATCACGCGTAAGATTTGTAGGAACAGAATTTATATTACAAATGAAATGAAATGGCGTTTAATGTCCTACTGTTCTGCTCCGAACTGGGCTAATGTAGACGGGAATATGCCAAACAATGTGCAATGAGGGAAATGTTTTCTAAACAGCAGCATGGAAGCCTACTCTTATATCGAATTCCAACTGCCAATGGATCTTTTACGTGCATGCCTACTTTTATTTCGAATTCTATCTGCGTAGGGTTCTTGTATGTGCATTGCCAATGTGTACACAGGACCTCAGTTTTTAGTACCATTCGAAAGACTATAATTAGTCCCATGGAAGGTTCTCCGTCTTGCCCTGGAAAATCAGAAATTTTATTGGCCGACATTGGGATAAACCACGGAACCTCTAGGTTGCCAAGCCAGCGTCTTATTTACTGCGCTACTGTGACTTCCGATATTTATAGGAAACAATTGACAGTGATCCAGTCACTGCGGCTCCAATATTTATAGGAAACAATCACCAGATTATTGATGAGCTATCACTTTCTAATTATTTCACAACTCTCAAGATGGTGGGAGAATAAACAAACGGTTCATCCATTCTGGATGAAAAAACAAAATCAAAAACCAACTTTGGTGACAAAATGTGTTTTATTAATTTATTAAAATGAATTTAAGAATGACAGTAGAATTTCTTCTGTTACATTTAATGACATATAACATTATTGTCGCTACTCATAACCCCCAACATCTTTAAAACAATGCACGAGACCAGGGCATCAACCAACAGAGCGAGAGAGAGAGAGAGAGAGAGATGGGTTTTAACGGCCACTCAACACAAACTAGGTCATTTCGGGACTAACACATGGTTCAAATTTATTTCAATAATTCACTTGCGCGTAGGGGTCTTTAGCAGTGGCAGGAAACCGAAGGACCCGGAGAAAACCCACGAGGTTGGACAGGCGACCCTACTCCTTGTCACTTACAACCAGGGATTTGAAACCACGCCAGTTTACTCAATGACAGGCCTTATGATACAGCATGCACGTGCTAACCATTCGGCCATCAAACCCCCAAGCATCAATCAACAATCTCAGAGCGAAATTTGATAGTGTTCAATTATTTAATCACAAAAACAGCCAACTAATCTGTAAGCCTCCTAACCAAAGCAAAATTCAATTCATCTATCACAAGGATCGTTTTTTTGTGTGTGTAATTGCCCGGATCTTCGATATAAATGTTGCGACCATCTTCCGCAAAATAACAAATATAACTTTCATAACTTTACTCTTAGTGTCAATTGTGACACAAAAATTCTCATACATATATATGTCTTGACTTGAAAGGGTTGTCAAAATTTTTACATTGGGGTGACAGACAAACATCTACAGGATAGAGTATGCAACCAATGACAGGATTGTAATATTGAAAATGGGCCCTTATTTGTAAATAGACATATTTTTAGATGTGCACAACGCCTACAAATAAAATTTCAAATTTTCCTTTTTAATAAAATGAAAGCCGATGACATCACAAAAAGAAAATTAATGGAAACCATCTAATTAAAAAATACGCTCCTCGACTTTCTAGACAATAAGTAACAATTGGCCATTAACTTCATCAATTTTCTTAATTCTATCCTAAATTGAACCCATATACTACAGATTAACACATGCGTGTACATGTTTTCTATTAGTTAATGATATACTATGTAACCATAGACAATGGTAACTATAGCCAATTAAAACCACAGTGTTACTACATGTATGTAAATATGTATAAATATACTAAACTGTCCATCTTTATACAATGACATACAAACGACAGACAAAAAGTTCTTTAAAATGTTACTAAACCAGTGTTGAAATCAGTTTGTACCCGCATACCTTTTATCTTTTCATCGTTAACCGTGAAACAAAGTAGTGCAGTTTTATGGTTATACTGATATAAATACCGTATATATGAAAAATATTTGAATTTTGCAAAATAAAAACATGGCAGGTCAGATGGCATACAACCGTAGACAGAGACTAGTCAAAGATACATAAACACAATTTATCAATTTTTAATATTGAGCAGGTTTTTTTTTAGTGAATTTTGATGTGTCTTTGTGAATTTTGGGTAAATTTGAACGTCTCGAGTGTAGAACAAAACTAGGTTTCTGATTATGTGATTTACCACAAACATCACATTTCTATGGTTATTCGCCAGTATGATTTCTCATGTGGTATTTTAGACTACTATTCTGTGTAAATGATTTACCACAAACATTACATTTATAGCGTTTTTCTCTAGAATGAGTTATCATGTGTTTCCGTACATCACCACTAGAGCTAAAAGCTTTACCACAAACATCACAGTTATAAGGTTTTTCACCAGTATGAATTTTTATGTGTCTGCGAAGGCTACCCTGAAAACGGAATAATTTACTACAAACATCACATTTATAAGGTTTCGCTCCGGTATGAATTCTCATGTGTCTGTGAAGGGTTCCGCGATCACTAAATGATTTGCCACAAACATCACAAGTTTGAAGCTTTTCTTCTGCATGAACTTTCATGTGTGAATGTAGACTACTACTCTGTGTGAATGATTTACTACAAACATCACATTTATAACGTTTTTCACCAGTATGAATTCTCATGTGTATCCGTAGGCTTCCACTCTGTGTTAATGATTTACCACAAACATCACACTTATAAGGCTTTTCACCTGTATGAATTCTTTTGTGGCTCTTAATAAGTCCTTTCCGACTAAATGATTTACCACAAATATCACATTTAAATGGTTTCTCGTCCGTATGAGTTCGTGTGTGCCTTCGAAGGCTACCCAGAAAACAAAATGATTTACCACAAACATCACATTTATAAAGTCTTTCTTTAGTATGTTCTACGATCTCCTCTAAGTTAACATGTATTTCACAGTGTTTTTCTAAATCAGACTCAGATTTAAATTCCCCATCACATAAATTACACTGATAAACAGTTTCACAATCTTCAGTTTTCTCTTCTTTAAACTGTACATGACAGTATCCATCTACATCATCAGTTTTCTCTTCTTTACCATGACAATATTCATCTACATCATCCGTTTTCTCTTCTTTAACATGTATTTTACTATGTACTTGTAAATCATCATATTGTTGAAAAATCTCATCACATACAACACACTGATGAAATGTGTTAACATCTTTAGTTTCCTGTAATATATAAAAGTAATTACATCATTGGTTTCCTGTAATATATAAAAGTTATATTAGTTTCCTGTAATATATAAAAGTTATAGTATCATTGTTTCCTGTAATATATAAAAGTTATAGTATCATTAGTTTCCTGTAATTCATAAAAGTTATAACATCATTAATTTCCTGTAATATATAAAAGTTACAACATCAATAGTTTCCTGTAATATATAAAAGTTATAACATCATTAGTTTCCTGTAATATATAAAAGTTATAATATCCTTAGTTTCCTGTAATATATAAAAGTAATGACATTAGTAGTTTCCAGTAATATATAAAAGTTATATTAGTTTCCTGTAATATATAAAAGTTATAACCTCATTAGTTTCCTGTAATATATAAAAGTTATAACATCATTAATTTCCTGTAATATATAAAAGTTACAACATCAATAGTTTCCTGTAATATATAAAAGTTATAACATCATTAGTATCCTGTAATATATAAATGTTATAACATCATTAGTATCCTGTAATATATAAAAGTTATAACATCATTAGTTTCCTGTAATATATAAAAGTTATAACATCATTAGTTTCCTGTAATGTAAATCATCCGCGTGGACGACAAGAGTTGCTGGATATATATTCTTTTGTAGGTAAAGGTGGGCATTGACAAGTCCATATCATACAGATCAGATTGCAATTTTCTACAAACTGAAACAGGTGCTTTAACACTGGAATCAATTTAGAGAAATTGTTGAAATTTAACTAAACCTGAGGCTCATTGCTGGGGGGTGGGGGTCAAAACCAGACATAACTTTTCTAGAGTAAAATTTTGCATAGAATACGATGCCGAGTGGTAATGGGGCATTTTCGAGATATTGAATAGAAATTACAATAAAAAATTTAAACATTGACTATAAATCACTTTATATACATGCATGTTACATTTCTGTACGCTTTTAGAATATTTTCGTCTATTCTAAGGTTCCAAAGAATAGAGTTATTTGCTCATTAAAAATGTTTAGCACCGGTGTTTTGATTATAATTTGCCTGTTGCAGTTATGCATCTCATTATAAAGTATACTATTCAAAAAACGAAATACAAAGTGACATTTCGTCGTAAGTATACCCTCGCTCTACCATCACTTTGATGCACAGGGACTGTGATTCGTCCACTGAACCAAACTGTTCTCCAGCGTTGGTTGTGGACATATCGTGTGTGTCTGAATCCATTGGTTTCATGTAGGCGTTTGTAGACTGTCTGGTCTGAGATCTTACACCATCCAGGAATTGCTACTGCAGTGGATGTCAGTTGTGAACAGTTTCCGCAAATGATGTAACCAGATGTGATGTTCCAGTGAGTCACTCTTGTTTAGCCTGAGCGGTCACGTGTTGAACTTCTGTCGGTACCTATCCCCAAAGCAAGAAAGGTAAGCTACGTTGGTCTTTGTTCAGATGTTGCACCACTTTGCTCGTTGAGTGTTTACATGTGCAACTGATTTTGAAACCTAGAACCCCGGGATATCATAGGCCTTACATTTGTGTTTCATGCGAACAGCTTGTGAAGTTGTTAAACTCATATATGTGTCTTGGTGCAATCAAGCAAAAACATATTTCATCAAAAAAGTACGACCAGTCACAATTAGTGACCCTACATTTATAATAATAATAAAATAATAATATGTATATTTATATCGCGCACAGTTCCATGCTCAAGGCGCTAATAATGAATTTCTTTTACCTGTACATAACGACATTAAGAACAAGCAAGATTTATGGAAACAACAACCCCGTTCAATTAAAAAAAATGCAGTGGATATTTAACCGTATACGGCACTTTACTTTATTTCCGTTTAACATGCGCAGTTCTCTGATACCTGGACTTAGTAGTTTACGCTTTGGCGTCTGACATTAACCCATAACCCAAACCCTAACCCAAAACCTAACCCTAGTCCAACAGTTCTATTCGTTCTTTGTCTAACATTGCTTCTTTTTCCGTTTCTTATAAAGGAACGAAATAGCCATACTTGAATTTCTATGGTAGAAACTGGAGAATTATTTTTAAAAGAAAATAAGATAATAAATGGAAATTGTAGAAAAGCATTTAGAATATTATTCTATTTTGGTCGAGGGCGCATTTCTGCGGCTTTTGGTTTTAATTTAAAGTAGCTAAGTGTCTAACTCAATATCATACTAAGTCTGACACGTTGAAAATACGAATTATTTGTCAATTCAAATCAACATTGATGTTGTGATCTTACCAGGAAAGGGCAGGCTTCTCATATTCAATATTTAAGACAAAATAAACATTTTACCATTGGTACACAAATCGTGTACCATAGTGCGTATTAGCGTCATTTGCAACAAGTGGCCAGAAAGAACGAGGCTAGACATATTTAACTGGAGAGCCCTGCTTAATAGACTGGAATAACCAGACACTAGAAATTGCTATAGGGTTGAGACACATGCTGTATTTCGCTGGACATAACTGATTTGAAATTAGAGTCAAAACAGAAACAATTGAATGAATGTAAATCAGTTTATATACAATCAGATTACAATTTCTAGGTCCCAAATATTAGCGATTTAGCTCCTTTAAGTACTAAGACTGTCAGTGGTTTATGTTTTTCCCGTAAAATCGTGCTTCTGCGCCGAAACGATGTACGGTAAAATAGCGGAAGTAGACACTTTGCCGTATACGGTTAAATATCCACTTCGTAAAAAAAAAGATGAAAAATCATATAAAAATGGGCCGTGCGTTTCTTTTTTTGCAGAGTATATCTTATCACTTCTCTCGAAATGATCACATTTACTGTATGAACAGATAGTAAGTCTTCGTACACCACCTTGCCTTCTAGAATGGCCAATTCAATGAATTAATAGAATTATCTTACCATTTTACAAAAGAATTTTTATGTTCTTATCGTCAACCCATGGACAGAAGAGAACACTTCCGGTGTGTAACATATATTTATTATGGACATGGACTAAACCCACACGAATGGTTCATATTGTGGATGTTATTGGGAATGCTCGATAATCAAAATCCACCATTATTTCTACTCATTCCACAATAATATGTATCGATATTTGATAGTATATCATTTTTCATATCAATTATTGTCATTTTTAATTTAAAACCTTAATGTTTGTGTGTTAAAAGGCCAATAGCTACTACACACTGAAACGTTCCAAACGTCTGTAGGCCTACCATACCGAAAAATACCATTAAAAAAAACTGAAGAGTCACTGAAAAAGTAGGGACCCTTTGAGTTCTCAGCCTCCAAACTTTCCCAGAACGCACTTCTATTGACGCCTAACTCCCAGTAATTCTTGACCTCTGATTGTCTAGTGCAGTGATTCTCAACCAGTGTGCTGTAGCACACTGATGTGTCGCAAGATCTTCCCTAGATAACAAACCTTAATCTCTCAACCCTCCAAGTTTCGAGATAAGACATGAGGCCATTACCTTCAACGTAGCACATGCGGGTGCGATTCACACCCGGCATTTGTAAACAAAATTGACAATATTTTTAATAAAAACAACGATTGATTATTGTTATTTATAATATTTCTGCCAGACCCAACTACAATTAAGCATATAATCCTACCTGAAGCGGGAACAAATCGTCGTTTTTAAAATCGAGGCGTTAACCCGTTACTTTGACCGCCATCTTTTTAAACGATACGCTGTCATCATGAAGGCGGGGCTAAATATAAGGCTTTTATAACAGCCAATCAAAAGGGCAATCTAAAGCACTGTAACCATTTTTACTCTGTGCTGTAACTATGAATGGATTGCGATGGCGGTGAACGTCAGACAAAAACAACGCTTCATTAATTTAAATGCGAATATTTGGAGTTAGGCGACAGTTGTGCCACTACATTGGCCTCTGTAACTTTAATTGATCATAATAGCGTAAACTTATCTTATTTTAAAGATGTTACATGCATTAATAAAGAAATTGAGTTTGCCACTTGGAACTAAAGGCATCCAATCGTGGTAGCTAAAAACAAACACATCAGTATATCTCAACGTTTTTAGCTACATTCTCGTAGCTAGATCTTCCAAAGTGTAAAAAACCATGTGATCCCAATTGAGTATTCACTGGTGACTACTGATAAGTTCATAGCTGTATTTTACTTTATTTAGTTTGAGTCATTATACGCCCCCCCCCCCCCCATTGCTAGTCTTTGTCTAGGCCTACAAAATTTAAATATTTTTCATATATATTTAGCCAGGTGTGCCTTTATTTTTTTTTTTTTTTGTGTTCCAAGGTGTGCCATTGGCAAAAAAATAGGTTGAGAACCACTGGTTTAGTGGTTTGCCTTTTGTCTCTGGACAGCTTACTGTTGTATCTCTCTCCTTTTGGACTTCAACGTTGTGTTTTCTAACGATATCGCAATCGAATATTTAACAGGTTTGCACAGGTTTTTATGTTAAAGCAGTTAAAGAATAGTATACATTACAACAAATTAAGATTAACTTATCTTTCCCTCAGCCCCATTCCACTGGGGGGGGGGTTGGATGGCCGAATGGTTAGCACGTGTGTGCTGTATCATAAAGCCTGTCATTGAGTCAACTGGCGTGGTTTCGAATCCCCAGTTGTATGTGACAAGGAGTAGGGTTGCCTGTCCAACCTTGTGGGTTTTTTCCGGGTCCTCCGGTTTCATCCCACTGCTAAAGACCCTATGCGCAAGCGATTTATTGAAATAAAATTAAAACATATGTTAGTCCCGAAATGACCTAGCCTGTGTCGAGTGGACATTAAACCCCATTTCTCTCTCCCTCAACCCCATTCCACTCACAGAGCGAGTTAGCTGATGGAAACCTTTAAACCATTAGGCTACTCTCTCAGTTAGATGATGTAAACCTTAACACCCTTACTCTTTCAGAATCTGGTGGTCCTCTGAGAATCAAATGGTTGTCTAAAGAACCCAAGCAGTGTCTGGTGTCTGATCATTCGAGCCCTGGTTTTTGCTGTTATAGATGCAAACATCCAAAATTACTAACGTCATAGAATGGTAACTGCTAAATAGATATGCACCTGCATACCAGCATGGATTATTACCTAATTTGGTCAACAAATATGATATATGTTTATGACTATATGAAAATTTTAAATGACCAACTTGTTCATTAATCTATAGCTCAGTTGATGTATCATACTATTCCGCATTAATACATTATGCAAGAGCTAAATCGGCCTATTGCAGGTCCTTCTATAGGCCTGAAATGTTTTCTAAATTATTTATTAGACATTAATTAACTTATTCAGGCCATAATCAACTCTATGGCATCGGATGTTTCTGATATTGAATATATTAGAACAGTTCAGCCATATTTTGATTTAAGCTAAAAATGGAGGAGTGGGACTTTATTGCACACGTCTTGGTTGAAATTATTGCACACGTCTTGTCAAACCTTCAAAGGCTGATATCTTCGCTCGCAATAGAGTAATTTGAATGAAATTTTCAAATTATTAATTTTACATTATCTATTTTCAAGCTATTAATAGTAACAATGGCTGACTCTTTATCTAAATCTTACATAATGTATCTTTAATTGCTTACTATATTTCTTGATTATGAATTTGGATTCAATAATTGATGATGGTCACATTATTGTTGCCACCATAATATTGTTACCACTCCCTCCCAACTAGGTTACCCGTAAGATTTGTGGGCACCCCAGGTTCACACATGACAATTGTGGAGCACTGTAGGTGAGTCATCGTTCAGGTACATGTAAGACTAAGCCATGCATAAAAATATGGTAGGAAATTATCGGTAGGTCATAGGTTAGACTTTACGTCACGCATAAAAATGGTGGGTCGTTGTTGATGGGTCATGAGTCAAACTAGGCCATGCATAAAAACATTGTAGGGAACAATCGGAGAAAAATTTTGGATAACTTTACTTCACGCATAAAAATGGTGGGTTGTTGTTGATGGGTCATGAGTCAGATTAGGCTATGCAAAAAATAGGTAGGTAATGGGTCACACTGGGTCATGCATAGATATTGTGACACGCTTTGTTTGTCATGGATCATACTGGGTCACACTTAAGACACATGGGGCATTGTAGGTGTGTCAGACCAGAAATCGTATATGAATTGTGTGGTACTCTAGTCATGGATCACATTAGGTGTGGTACTTGGTTGGTCATGGGTAAGGCCACATATACAAATTGTTAGGTGGGTCATGGGTCACTCTCGGTTGGTCGTTGATCAGACTAGGCCTTGCATTCAAATTGTGGAGCACTCAAGGTCACGCATAAAAATAGTGGATTTTCTAGGTAACTAATAGATCACCCTAGGCCATACATAAATATAGTAGGACACACTAGGTAACTAATAGATCACCCTAGGCAATGCATAAATATAGTAGACACTCTAGGTAACTAATGGATCACCCTAGGCCACGCATAAATATAGTGGACACTCTAGGTGACTAATGGATCACCCTAGGCCAAGCATAAATATAGTGGACACTCTAGGTAACTAATGGATCACCCTAGGCCAAGCATAAATATAGTGGACACTCTAGGTAACTAATGGATCACCCTAGGCCATGCATAAATATAGTAGGTCACTCTGTGTTGGTCATGGATCAGAGAGAGAGAGAGAAATGGGGTTTAACGTCCACTCAACACAAACTAGGTCATTTCGGGACTAACATATGGTTTAATTTTATTTCAATAATTCGCTTGCGCGTAGGGGTCTTTAGTAGAGGGAGGAAACCGGAGGACCTGGAGAAAACCCACGAGGTTGGACAGGCGACCCTACTCCTTGTCACGTACAACCGGGGATTCGAAACCACGCCAGTCGACTCAATGACAGACTTTATGATACAGCGCGCGCACGCTAACCAGTCAGCCATCCAACCCCACTGGTCATGGATCAAGTTACATGTAGGTCATTCATAAGAATTTGTAGGGAACAAAATATATATAACATTGGAGGCAAAAATAAAGACTTTCAATAGGCTAATTTAGCTTTTATATCTGTAAAATAATAAATATAGTAATTATACATGATTTAACGTCCTACTGTTCTAATCTGACTGGGGTAATGATACAAGATTTAACGTCCTACTGTTCTACCCTGACTGGGCTAATGAAGACGGGCTTATGCTATTCATGGTGCTATATGTATGAAGGATATCTTGCTTGGACAGTGGCCTACTCTTATTTTGATTCCAACTGTCTAGGGTTTTGAAAATTCCGTATGTAAATTTATGAAATATAAACATTCTGATTGTGGTTTGTAAATATCGTGTATATAGCCATCTTATAATTTAATCGTTACTTTACTTTACTTTTCATTATATATTTATGTTTGCACTTTTATGGAGAGGGGTCTATAGGCTTCTGCCTGTTCTCCAATCCAGTTTCTGCGAATAAATATTGTTTAGAAAAAAAAAACATGCACGCCAGTGTGTACACGGGACCCCATTTTTTGTCTCATCCAAACAACTATACATTGTTTCTTGCCAGGCCTTCCAACCTACATTACTGACATCGGGAATCACACCCGAAAATCACAAACTTTATCAGTCAACACTAGGATAGAACACAGGACCTCTAAGTTACAGAGCTGGTGTCTTACTCACTGAGGAACGGGACGTCTTAGTTAGCAAGCCAATACATGACATACCCACTTAGCCACTGTGGCTCCAGATGATTATAGGAAAGAATAAACAGGCTATTGATGGACATGAACATTCTGTGAAGCACATTCTAATTATTTCACCACTTTCAAGATGGTGGGAGAGAATGTACACCTTATGGATTGAACAAGCAAAGGGTATTCTACTTTGCAGGTAGGATGAGCAAAAGGTATTCCACTCTGCAGGTAGGATGAGCAAGGGGTACGTCCACTGCATGGGTAGAATAAGCAAAAGATATGTCCAGTCTGTATGCAATAAAACCAAAACCAGCTTTTGTGTAAAAATGTTTTTTATGAACAGATAACAGAATTTCTTATGTTGAATTTTGTGATATATTACAGTAAAACTACTAAATATTAGAATAAAACAATAATATGAAGGCAAAGAAGTTTATGTGGCATTTTGTGATATATTACAGTAAACCTACTAAAAATTAGAATAAAACCTGTCCAACTAAAAGGTGAAGAAACTCAAGTTGGTGAAACAAAAAGACATCCGATTTTAAGACTGGCTAAACACGAACAAATCTAAAGTTACATCTCGGTCGTGGAGAGAAATATAAACAAGCCAACAGTGAGGCTGATGTCCCCCGCCAAAATCCAAAAATAAATAGATGACACATATTAATTAATTGCACGTTTATCATTCTCAAAAGTATCGAGGAATCAAACCAACATCAACTAGCGGCTGCCAGGCAGGATACACCCACATTTTGCAAAAGATGGATAGAGAACAAGATAAACAAAAAGCGATTTTTCGAACAATCAAGGGCCATGATTCAGGAAGTTACAATCCGATATGTGCGAATATCGACAGGAACCAAGATCTTTGAGTTATAAAGATATATTTCAAGTTTCATCAAAATCGGATCAAAATTTTGACTTCTAGAGGGTCCACAACCTTGATATACCATATATTTACATTATTTGCATATGAGGGGTGGCCATTTTGTCTGGCAGTTTTGGTCCGATTTTCACGAATTTCGAAGTCAACCATCAATATGGTGTACCGGTGATATAATCAAACGGTTTTTAAAATCTGATAATAATTGTGACCTCCAGAGGGACCACAAGCTAAAAAAGGCGATTTTTCGTACAATCAGGGGCCATAATTCAGGAAGTTACGATCCGATATGCGCAAATATCGACAGCAACCGAGATCTTTTGGAGATAAACCTATATTTCAATTATCGTCAAAATCGGATAAGAATTGTGACCTGTAGAGTGTCCACAAACAATTGGTACAATCAGGGACCATATCCAGAAAGAAATGAAAATGAAATGGGGTGTAACGTTCTGCTGTTCTGCTACGAACTGGGCTAAAGAAGACGGGCATATGTCATACAGTGTACTATAAGGGGAATTCTGCCTGGACCGTGGCACTACGGCCTACTCTTACATGTATATCGAATTCCAACTGTCAAGGGATCTTTTACGTGCATGCCAACGTGTACACAGGACCTTGTTTTTTCGTCCCATCTGAACGACTAGACAGCTGTCCTTGTCAGGCCCTCCGTCCTTCATCATTGACAAGGGGAAACCACGCCGGAAAATCTGGATGAACTTTCTTGGCCGATGCATGGATCGAACACCCGACCTCCAGGCTAGCGAGCCAGCATCTTACCCACCGTGATCCTAATCTGGAATGTAAACATATAGTCTTAAGTTTCATCACGATCGGATAAAAATTGGGACCTCTAATTGTTACAATAGTAATCAAGGATTCGATTATTCATTTTTTAATTAAATCACATTAACTGCCAATCATTTTAAATCATTATTTTATTAATTCTAATCAAGCTGATTAAAACAGATTCTATTTCGTTTCAAAATTTCGCTTTACTTAATTGTCTTGGTTACACTAGGATCTGGAAGAGTTGTTATATTACCAGCGTTTTGGTTCAAGTGAGGGATTAGCCAATGAAACAGTCTGTTACAGCGACTTCTTGGCATACCATGCACAGAACTGTGGGTAAACCACTAGAAACGTCAACGCCGATTAATTAATCAATATATGACGTCATAGGGTCAAAAGCCGCTCGTACGACCTCTGATGTGAACTCCCACTATAACTTGTCAGATAATCATGAGGTGTAGACCATCGAAAGTATAAAAAAACAAAACGAAATATAGATCTAACAAATCATATTTTTGCGTGAGTTTTTATGTGTCTTTGTAGGTAAAAGGCCTGAGAGCCACGATGGCTAGGTTGTTAAGACACTGGCTCGCTAGCCTGGAGGTCGGGTGTTCGATCCCGAGAAAGTTGAAAAAACACAACACAACTTTATGGATAACAATCACTAGCAACTTTAATAGTGCAACGTTTCAACAAGTGTCCTCTTGTCGTTATCAAGCACAGGGTAAAAAAGATACGTGGTTCCCCCTTGTCAGTGGTGCAGAACAGAGGGTCTGACAAGGACAGCTGTCTAGTCCTTCGAATGATACGAAAAACCGAGGTCCCGTGTATACATTGGAATGCACGTAAAAGATCCCTTGGCATTTGGAATTCAATATAAGAGTAGGCGATAGTGCCGCTGCCCGAGCAAAATTTCCCTCATAGCACACTGTATGGCGTATGCCCGTCTTCATTAGCCCAGTATAGGAGCAGAACAGTAGGACATTAAACCCCATTTCATTTCATTTTGTTAAAAGGCCTGGTAAATCATTTTTGTCCAGTGTGAATAAAACTAGAATTCTTAATAAATGACTTAAAACAGAAATCTCATTTAACAGGTTTTGACTCCTGTGTGCGTTACCAAGTGTCTTTGTAGATTACAAGTTCTTGAAAATGATTTCCCACAAACCCCACATATAAAAGATTTTTCCCCAGTGTGAATTTTCATGTGTACAACAAAATTAGATTTCCGTTTAAATGATTTATCACAAATATCACACTTATATGGTTTTTCCTCCGTATGTGTTATCGAGTGCGCTTGTAGACCGAGTTTACAAGTAAATGATTTATCACAAACATCACATTTATAAGGTTTTTCACCCGTGTGAGTTCTGATGTGTCTCTGTAAAACACCAATACTGCTTAATAGTTTACCACAAACATCACACTTATGAGGTTTAACACCTGTATGAGTTTGCCTGTGCAGATGAAGGGCACCTTGAAAACCGAATGATTTACTACAAACATCACATTTAAATGGCTTCTCACCCGTATGAACTCGAACATGGCTCTGTTGATGCCCCTTTTGAGCAAATAATTTACCACAAAACTCACACTTATAAGGTTTTTCACCTGTATGATTTCTCATGTGCACACGAAGGCCACCCAGAAAATTGAACGATTTAGCGCAAACATCGCATGTATAAAGTTTTTCTTCAGTATGAATTCTCATGTGGAGCTTCAGGGTACTACTCAGATTAAATGATTTACTACAAATATTGCATTCAAACGGTCTCTCTGTTGTATGAATTACCATATGGTTTTTACACTTGCTTTGTGTATAAAATGATTTACCACAAACATCACATTTATAAGGTTTTTTAATACACATATTATCTTGAGACTTATCACCGCCATCTTTAGATTGTTGTATAATATTAATATGTATGTTGCCATCTATTTCACTGTGTTTTTCTAAATTAGTCTCAGATTTAAATTCCCCTCTAGATAAATTAAAGGGATGAACAGTTTCAATATCATCATGTTTCTCTTCTTTAAATTGAACATGACAATATTCATCTACATTATCAGTTTTCTCTTCTTTAACATGTATCTTATTGTGTTGTACTAAATCATCATATTGTTGAAAAATCTCTTCACATATGACACACTGGTGAAGTGTTATAACATTATTAGTTTCCTGTAATATATAAAAGTTATAACATCATTAGTTTCATATAATATATAAAAGTTATAAAATCATTAGTGTCCTGTAATATATAAAAGTTATAACATCATTAGTTTCCTGTAATATATAAAAGTTATAACATCATTAGTTTCCTGTAATATATAAAAGTTATAAAATCATTAGTTTCCTGTAATATATTAAAGTTATAACATCATTAGTTTCCTGTAATGTATAAAAGTTATAACATCATTAGTTTCCTGTAATATATAAAAGTTATAACATCATTAGTTTCCTGTAATATTTAAAATAAATATATCAGAGCAGAACAGTAGGACGTTAAACCCCATTTCATTTTATTTGTATTGTGGATGTGTCAGATATTGTTATTTTCTAAAACAGAGCTGCTACATGTATTATGGTCATACAGTAAAAGAGATTAATTTGGAAATAAAATCAATCAGATAGCCCAATTCAACTATTTGTATTTTGAATGTCCTGACGTGATGTATCCTTACACTGGTCGCTTCACAAAGATCCAAGATATTTCAGTGCTCGTGTTTCTCCGGCCCAATAACTCTCATGGTGCGTTAAAAATAGTTCACAGCAAATCATCAAATCAACTGTTGTCAGATGAACTTTTGATGTCAAGATATGGGAGATGTTCCCAAGGATCATTAATATGTAAATCAGCATTTCATTCAAACATATCAAGCCAATCAGAAGCCACTGGAGGGCAGAGCTTAGGAACTGATCTGACACTGATTAAAGGACAATATTGGTGTCAGTCATTATCACATGTGATAGAACTGGTTATATAGAGGGATAATTTGTGTTTTCCTTTTGCGTTCATCACTTCCTATTGTTGAAACATTGATTACTCATCTATCGTAGCAATGATCTCTGTGATAAAATAATATTTGGAACGTGTTTAACCAGTTCTATCACATATGTGATAATGACTGACACCAATATTGTCCTTTAATGGCCAGGGAGTTTTACCAGAGATAAATGAAGGGTAAAGTTATCTCTGGGATTGAGACTGACTCAATGACAGATCTTATGATACAATGCCCACACATTAACCATTCATGCACCCAATCCCCTGGAACAGATTGATACCATGTACCCTAAATTTACATGAGAGAGAGAGAGGGGAGGTAACTCCACTCGATACAAACTAGGTCATTTCTGGTTTAACACATGGTTTAATTTTATGTCAATAATTCGCTTGTGCGTAGGGGTCTTTAGCAATAGGAGGAAACTGGAGGACCCGGAGAAAACCCACGAGGTGGGACAGACAACCCTTCTCCTTGCCACAAACACAACCGGGGAATCAAAACCACGCCAGTTGACTCAATGGCAGACCGTATGATACAGTGCGCACGTGCTAATCATTCGGCCATCCAACCCCCCAAACTTACATGACCAATCCATATACGATGACTAACCTTTATAAGTTCAAGTATAGTAAATTTATACCTTTAACATATGACATCACATACGGTGTCGATCATTGGCTTAATGGAGTGTGCCTTCTTTACATTGTGTAAACTGATCTATGCAGAAGAAGGGACCCTTTTACTCATTTTACATAAGCTTACCCATTTACATTAAAAAGGAAATATTTTTTTTATCTCATTTAGTAGTATATTCCACTATCACCAGCTTACAAGGACACTTGCCCACTAAACTTACAAAAACCTTTAAAAAGGTTTTATGGCCGTCATTTGACTTGATTAGTAAATATAACATTTCTCTTTCGGCTATTATTCTAGATATATTTAATTGACGCATATACTATCTCCCTGATTATGTCTACATTTGTTTCATTTGGGAAACATCTGCTGTTTTATGTCACTTCATTCAGCAGCCGAGTGTCGTTGAGACAGGTCGAACTTTCTCTGTTTGCTTTTTTACATTTATTATTGTTTTTTCCTCCGTTTTCTTGGTAAATATGACATATGCCCTAACTTTATAGTCAATATATACCTCAATTCTTTCAAACGCTTAAAATGTTTCTCACTGACACAGACCACTGAACTTTTGACTACCTGGCTTTTTTATACATTTTACTGATATGTTTACTTGTATAGGTAATTTTTTAATGCAATATGCTTACATTTACATGTATATTTCATGTAACATATAGCAGATCTTGACTCATACTAGTATTACACAATGTTTTTTGGGTTATATTCCTGATTGTTGTTAGTTTTTAATTTTGAGTGAAGTCTGTATCACTACAGGCCCGGGACTGTACAGCGCAGTAAAACTAAAGGCTTACAGCTAGCCCTCGGATCCATTCACTTAATGCAGTGGTTCTCAACCTTTTTTTGCCAGCGGCACTCATTGGCTGGCTAAATATATATGAAAAATATTTGAATTTTTACACAAGAAAAACATGGCATTCAGACGGCATACAACATAATGACTCAAACTAAATAAAGAAAAACACAGCTATGAACTAATCAGTAGACACCAGTGCAATCATATGGTTTTTTGCATTTTCTTAGTGTGCTGTTAAAAATTTTGGTTAGGACGATCTTGCGGCACACTGGTTGAGAATCACTGTTCTAATCTGATACATGTATGTACTTTGTTTGTGTCTTGTCCGAGATTTGTTTTGAGTGTGTGGTGCCGTCCTCCTGCACTTACTATTAGGCCGCAGTTAATTAATAATAATAATAATAATAATAATAGTCTATTTATATAAGTTTCTTATCTACAGATCTTAAGGTCCTTGCAAGAGTATATGATTGTAAGAGATCACTCAGGTATTTTGGGGCAGTACCATTTAAACATCGAAAAGTATAACACAGAATTTTAAATTTGATTCCGTAACTAACAGGAAGAAAATGGAGTTCTTTGAGAATTGGAGTTATGTAACTGTAACGAGGAGCCAGAGATATTATTCTAGCGGCTGTGTTCTGGATCTTTTGGAGTCGCAAAACAAGAGAAGTAGGGGCACCTAATTGTTTCTTTCTCATGACCTGCCCGCATGTCCATTTTCATCTGTAATAATTACGCACTTCCATAATTATTTGGTCAAATTTATGGAAGTCACAAATTCGTCCTGTAAAATTTGTAAAACTATATTTGTTTGCCTTGAAATATTAACAATGGATTGATGCATTAAAATCGACTATTTATCAATAAACATGACACTGTAGGTGATAAGTAAAGTTTAGTACTAGTAGTAAGCTAGAATGTGAAAAAATCATAACAGGAAGTTAAAAAAAATGTATCATATCTGTCATTCTGTAGCATTTTCCTTCACCAAAGACGACATACATACTTCATAAGGCACTTGTCAATTGTAATAAAATTCACGGAAAGATATAAATGTCTTTAAATTAGTGCTAAAATATTTCATTTACGTGACTAGCACTCTGTGACCAACTGTTCCAAAACTGTCGCCATGAGATAGCCTCTATCATGAGGTACGCACTGACTGACTGACTGACAGTTTTATTAACCACGACATTCTATAAACCCGGGAGCCACAGTGGCTAGGTGGGTAAGGCGCTGGCTCGCTAGCCTGGAGGTCGGGTGTTCGATCCTTGCATTGGCCGAGAAAGTTCATCCAGATTTTCCGACGTCAGTGATGCAGGACGGAGGGCCTGACAAGGACAGCTGTCTAGTCCTTCGAATGAGACGAAAAACCGAGGTCCTGTGTAAAGATTGGAATACACGTAAAAGATCCCTTGGCAGTTGGAATTCGAAATAAGAGTAGGTGATAGTGCCGCTGCCCAGGCAAAATTTCCCTCATAGCACACTGTATGGCGTATGCCTGTCTTCATTAGCCCAGTATAGGAGCTGAACAGTAGGACGTTAAACCCCATTTCATTTCATTTCTATAAACACAGTCTCAAAAGGACACAAAGGTACCAATAAATGTGAATAGTTTGATGAAGATAGACAAAATTATAAAAGTATTTATATTATCATGATGCCATGTGGCGATGGGGTTAAAGTTGAAGACAATTAACATACAGGTTATTGGTACTGTCTTCTTCAAGGTTAGAGAAACGAACACGTGTGTAATAAATTCTTTGGACTGACATGTTAAATAATCTAACTTATGTTGTATTCAAAAATCCAAGGGTATGCTTTTAAATATTTTTCAAAACAAATCATCAACCTGATTGGAACAGGTCATTATGTAACCTGTCAAAGTAGGGGAAGATAAAGAAATGAAATGCCAAGAACGAACGAATTAACGAACGATTAACGAAGAAGCATATCACTAATAATTTAGACCTATTATTATGATTAAAGGAGCTAAATCGATAATATTTGGGACCTAGAAATTGACTCAAATGGGTCGCAACGCATATAATAATGTAATCTGATTGTATATAAACTGATTTACATTCAATTGTTTCCGTTTTGATTCTTAATTTCAAATCAGTTATGTCCAACGAAATACGTCATGTGTCTCAACCCTATAGCAATTTCTAGCGTCTGGTTATTCCAGTCTATTGAGCAGACTCCACAGTTGAATATGTCTAGCCTCGTTCTTTCTGGTCACTTGTTGCAAATGACGCTAAAAGGCACTATGGTACATGATTCATGTACCAAAGGTAAAATGTTTATTTTGTCTTAAATATTGGATATCTGAAGCCTATCTTTTCCTGGTAAGATCACAACATTAATGTTGATTTGAATTGACAAATAATTCGTGTTTTCAGCGTGTAAGACTTTGGATGATATTGAGTTAGAGACTTAGCTACTTTAAGTCTTCCGATGCTCGGCAGCTATTGTGCAACAGATATTTTTATCTATAAAAATTTTATTAAATGTGAATAAATCGCGAACGCCAGTTTCCGTTTGGTTTTCAATGACCAAGTAACCGACATTAGTTATTGCTGAAATAGAAACAGCATTAAATTCAAAAATTTAAAATTCCATCTCCATAATTAATAATTACCTCATGTAGCATAATATGTATGTAGCAAAGCAGAATTTTAATATGTTTATAGGTTTTATTATGTCAAGTAATATAGTGCATTGAGTGAGTGCACCTTTAAACTAACAGACACTAATTTTACTTGCAACTGGTCTATAATAACATCTCTCCTTTAACTTGGCTTGTTAACCTGTACTGTTTTCTTAGAGCCCAAATCTTGGGGTGAATACAATTCTACTCCCTTGGTTACAAGCAAGTTTTCTTTTTTTATCTAAACCTCACTTTGGACATCAGACATTAGATAGATTTCGAAGTGTAAGGACATTTTGATACTTTCCATCAAATTGTTTAAACTTTTTTTCCAAATCTAGTTAGGTTATTTTCAGAGAATTGTTTCAGTTATACTACTTCAGTATTACAGGTATGTGTGCTAATTCTCTTATTTTGGGTAATTGGGCTTTAGATGGAGCGGATGTAGGAATGATAGAAATTGTAATATTAAAGCTGAACTCCGGTTACAAAAATACCGAAATAATTAAATAAAAAAAAGTTAACGCCCCCAAGCCGCCATACTTGTTTCTAATTTGTGAAATAAGTATGGCGGACATGGAGGCTTATGACCTGGAATGGTTAGCCGATCTCACTTCCAGTTTGTTTCTTGTCAGCCACCTGTACACATCCGGCCTTATTCTCTATACACGCTTCACTGATCGCTCTATTGTTTCCCAACAGTATGCCAAATTATTGAAGATTGCAAAATGTCTGATCAGGTAAGCCTGTAAATAATTATATGAAAGAGCAGAAGAACCTGACCTTCCAGCAGTACAGAAACAACAGAACAGTTGACAACTACAGGAGATACGCCAAAGCAAGAAACCAAGTCAAATGGGCTAACGAGAAGGCGGTCAAAGCATATGAAAAGATGATCGCATCAGAGGCAAAATCGAACCCTAAGGCATTCTACGCCTACGCCCGAAGTAGGACAACGGTGAGAGAATCAATAGATGACCTTAAAGACACATCCGGTGCCATAGTAACTTCAGATGCTGACAAAGCCGATGTCTTAAACCAGTTTTTTTGTAAAGTATTTACCCAGGAAGATACGTCTGATGCCCCTCAGCCAACTCTGACTCATGTGTTAAATGAACTGTTAACCTTCACAATAACGCGTGAAGATGTCTTGAAGGAACTCCGCGCTGTGAAAACTAACAAATCTCCAGGCCCGGACAACATCCACCCAAGAACACTATCAGAAACTGCAGATGAGATCAGCAACCCCCTTGTGTTTATATTCAACTCTTCCATTAAAACAGGCCAAGTACCAAGACAGTGGAAACAGGCCGTAGTTACCCCTATCTTCAAAAAGGGAATTAAGTCTGAACCAGGTAACTACAGGCCAGTGAGCCTCACCAGCATTGTATGCAAAATTATGGAGAAACTAGTACGTACAGCTATGATGAACCACCTCAATACGAACAAACTTATATGCAAGGAACAGCATGGCTTCACGAGCGGCAGGTCTTGCTCAACCAATTTGCTTACTGCCCTAGACAAGTGGACCTCTTCATTAGAGAATGGCAATTCAACAGATGTACTATATCTTGACTTCGCCAAAGCCTCCGATACAGTTCCTCACTGGCGTCTCATAAGGAAACTGAAAGGACTTGGAATAACAGGTGATGTCCTACGATGGATTACAAGTTTTCTGTCAGACAGGAAACAATGTGTCAGAGTCAACACAAACACCTCAGGGTGCTCCGATGTGACTAGTGGTATCCCTCAAGGGAGTGTACTGGGTCCGATTCTTTTTGTCTGCTACATCAACGACCTACCAGACATGATCAACACTAACTGCCTGATGTTTGCAGACGACACGAAAGTCTTCACAGAGATCCACGATAAAACAGATACAATAAAGTTGCAGAACGACCTGAACAACTTAAGTGAATGGTCCAACAAATGGTTACTACGTTTTAACGCCAGTAAATGTAAGGTACTCCACATTGGCAAGAACAACCCGGGACACACCTACAATATGGAAGGGACCAGGCTGGCAACGACAGCTAGAGAAAGATATGGGCTTCTATATAGACCCTAACCTGACCTTCAGTGGACATGTGAAACAAAAGGTAGCAACAGCTGATAAGATACTGTGTATGATTCGCAGAACATATAAGCACATAGACGAGGAATCAATGAAGCAACTATTCACTGCACTTATCCGACCCCACCTGGAATACTGCCATGCCGTACGTTACCCACTATTACTAGAAGACAGACGCCAGATAGAACAAATACTTCGCAGAGCAACAAGACTTATCCCGAGTATCAAAAAACTTGAATACGAAGATCGTCTTAAAAAGCTAGGTATCCCACGTATGAAGTACAGACAGGATCGGGGAGATGTCATTGAAATCTGGAAATACTGTATATGAACGGTAAATATACCACTGCAGCACCTTATATGACGGAGACTTGCAGTCGCACTAGAGGTCACGGTGTTGGTTATAGGCTAAAGAAGCAACGAAGTAACACAAGAGTAAGAGCAAATTTTTTCTGTAACAGAGCCTATAACGACTGGAAAAATCTTCCGACCGATGTGATCTCCTCAACGACACTAAATCAGTTTAAATGTCGTCTGGACAAAGCCTGGAGCCCCCGCAGATACTTATCATACTATACATCCCATTAGCGCACCACCATGCCACGCCCAGTTAGTCTAATTTAGCCCCGTACTGAACTCACAATGTAACAGTACCGCCCTAATAAATGCTGTGAATTCCTGTTTAGAAAATCTGACAGGCCAAAAGGTCCGGACCTATTTAAAGGCCTCACTGATGATGATGATGATGATGATGAAAACAAAAGATGCAAAAAGATGGCTTACCCCAACCTGAAATTTTCAACCATGAATAAGACAATAGTTTGTGCAGGTGATTTGTGCAGGTGAGTAAAGCTTAGGCTATATATAGTAGTAGACGCGGTTCATATAATTTACTCACCTGCACAAACTATTGTCTTCTTCATGGTTGAAAATTTCAGGTTGGGGTAAGCCATCTTTTGTTTTAGAGTAAAGCTTAGTGAATATATAAGTAGACACAGTCCATATAATTATTTACAGGCTTACCTGATCAGACATTTTGCAATCTGCAATAATTTGGTATACTGTTGGGAAACAATAGAGCGATCAGTGAAGCGTGTGTAGAGAATAAGGCGGGATGTGTACAGGTGGCTGACAAGAAACAAACTGGAAGTGAGATCGGCTAACCTTTCCAGGTCATAAGCCTCCATGTCAGCCATATTTATTTCATCAATTGGAAACAAGTATGGCGGCTTGGGGGCGTTAACTTTTTTTTAATTTAATTATTTCGGTATTTTTGTAACCGGAGTTCAGCTTTAAGCAGCCATTTTATTTAAATAGATAGAAAATAACATGTAAAATCATTAGTTTTTCATATATACATATATATATAGTAGATTATAAGGTACCGTTTTGAAAGTATATTGTTATGTATAATCAGAATAATGTTATTTTCCAGAATATAGTTATCTGAAGATTTTGTTCACCATCTTGATAGTCTTATTTAAAAAACCCTTCTTTGGGTATGTTATCAATTACTTATATTATATTTAGTATAAACTTAAGGGATATTTAATATATTTAATTTAATTAGTGATGTATTTTACTGTGATATGTATATTAATTTTAATGTATATATATTTCAGGGTTTTTAATAAAGGTTTAAAAACTAAACACCTTAGTTTTTATTGAGAATTTACACACACCCCCCACCGGTTACATGTATATTTATATTTCACAAACACAGGTCATGAGAAACAAACAAACAATTAACCGCGGCCTTAGGTAGGCTATCAATTGTAGCGGTAAACACTAAAACAGGGTATTATTACCGCGACAATATTGTAGCTAGCTTCCATGCACCACAATACATTTTAGAGGGGAGAATTCGAGGAAATAATAAAATTATCTCACCATTATACAAAAGCAGTCGACTTGATACTCTAGTCATAAACACAAAGACGACTCAATCTATTTGTTAAGGCCAACTCAATTTTCTTCAAGGTCGCTAGATGTAAATACGGCTAGGGCACGTGATTGTAGGCGAAATTGTAGGTTAGGGTTTGGGTAAGCGTTAGGGCTAGGTCCAGGGTTAGGGTAAGGTTTGGGATTAGCGTTAGTTCTGTTTACATCTCGTGACCTTTGACCAAACTTGAAGTTGGCCTTATTAAATAGAAATAACCTACATAAGACGTGTGCGCTTCCGGTGCGAATAATTTATTTATTATGGACATGGACTAAACCGACATAAACGGTTCATTATTGTGTGTGGAAAGGGGGATGTCTGGTCATCAACTGAAATGTTCCAAATGCAGCGAAATAAAATCAAATGACACGGAATTAAAGATGCATTGTGTAAGATTTAGATCCGACAGCTCTCTCTATGATAGAAAAAAACTGGAGTAATTAAATAACTATTTAAAATTGACATCAAAAATCATTTTTATGCCACAAGCCGTATTAGGAGTCTGGAGACAAAAACACCCCACTGACTTCCGACTGCAAACATTAAAAATTGTTGCCCGTTTTCCGCAGACCGGTCTTGATGTCTCCACGCCCATCACAAAGTGTCATCCCTACAGAGCTTTATTCTGTCTCAAATGATTTCATTTCCGTCAATCCAGTCAGTCAGTACTGGCGTTTAACGTCCGCTTCAACCTAGGGTGTACCCCATACAACAGAGTTTTATTTTATTTCAATTGGCAACGTTTCAGTCATGCAGGTAGGCTAGACTTCAGCTTCTATATCGAGTGATATCGCAGACAAGTTTCAATTGAATGTCGGGTATACCCCATGCGATATCTTCATTTATGCACCGCTCGTGTAGGTTTAGTCCTTGTCAATAATGAATATATTATTTACACCGGAAGTGACGATTAAAACATCTGGACTGTTCTTGCAAAATGGTAAGATAATTTATAAGTTCCCTGAATTCTCAATTCTAAAAGATTACTGTCTTCACGGCATGATTTAGAAATTGTTATTTTGTCCATTAAACCTACGAAGTCTTCTTTCAATCTTTGTCATTCGGATTTGTTTTTGGGGTTTTCTTTGTTACGTTTCAAGGATTTTTTTTTTTTTTTTTTTTTTTGCTACGTTTCGAGGAGTTTTATTTACCCATGAATAATTAAGCCAATTAACTAGACAAAAGCTTATCTCCCTGGAGCTAATTAAAGGATTATCTAGGGGTGATGATTTTCTGTGATCGCGGAAAAAACGCTGAAATCGCGGAATTGTCCACTCAAAACGGAATTTGAAATCTCACACGGAAAAAGACGGAAAAGCCGATATTTGCTGATACTAAACACAAACTCAAAACAATTTTGCAGTTATCCAAGTATTTCATCTTTTTATTCATAAAAATCGGAAATATTGAATGATATCACGTGGTTTTGTTACTGTCTATTTTAGTATTTAGCTACTTTCATTTCATCATTTAGGAATCATAATTTTACTCGAAAAGAAAACCCATCTTTCATGTATCCCTGTATACAATTACTCTGTAGTTGAACTTGAATTAAACATTGTAATGTATATATATGTCTTAAAAAAACTTCTGTCACTTCATAAAAGTAAAATCGTTTCATTTACTTCTTATTTTACTGCCGGGCTCGTGACTCTTGTTTATCTGTATTAACCACGTGACATCACAAATATGCCGTAGCCTTGTGAATCCAGCCCTTATTCTCGAAGAAACAGTAGTAACTACGAAGATGTCTGGATATATCGCGACTACAACTAGCAGCTGAGAAAAATGGCTGCGTCTGCTAAAAAGATGAAACAAGCTCACAAGATGTAATTTTCTGTTATTTAATTCGGGAAACAGGTTTAAAGAATAACTAGTCATTGATCATTACAAGTCATTCACAATTCAACATTTGTTATCATTGGTTTAAAATGATCCGTTTTGTAATAAAAGGCATTTTAAGATGTTTTATTCATTTATTCATAAAATAACATTTTATCTCGAAAAAACGGAATATGGTAAGCTCTGAAACGGAAAATAATGGAATTCAAAATACTTAAAACGGAATTTGCTATTTTCTGAAATGGAAAATCATCACCCCTAATTATCCATTAATCCAATATATTGCAGAGAACACAAAATAACACACAAACTATTATTCCAGGCAAAAAATATTCATATATTCAAATGAAGATATATAATTGGGCATCAAAATGGTCTAACTTTTAAGCACTAATACAAAGTAACATCAAAGTTATTCTTTATTGAAAATCAACAAAGTTAAGCACACGTACATTGTACAACAGGCCATAGCATGCTGCCGTAGACATTCGTCTAATTGATGATCAAAGTGTGCATGATTTACTACAATAAACAAATTAAAAAGTCAAACTATTTTTATCCTCATTTAAATGTCCTAAAAATGTTGAAAAAATCACTGAATTTAACTTAGTTTGCTGAACAAAGTTGGTATTGTATTCGAGGACCATGGGTCGACATTTTAATTTTTTTCGTAGCAAGTCGACGGTCGTATCTGGGTCATCTTCTTGTTCGTTTAAAATAGCGGAAAAAACACTTTCCCTAACACTATTGTGATTAATATTCACATCTAAAATACCCTTTGATAAAAATCCTACAAATTATGATTCGGAACCACTTTCCATTGCGAAGAAATTATTAAAAGAGTGAGCGCTGGGATATTACAATTCGACGAAGAGTGGCTGCCATTTTTGGTACACTGTATATCACGTATATCTTCTTCTCTGTTTCAAATCTCAGAAAAATCATTTTCCCCCGAACATTTGTCATTACTGAGATTAATATTCATATGTAAATATCCTTTGATAAAATTTCTTCAAATTCTGAATTGGAATCTCCTTCCATAGCGAAGAAATTATTGAATGAACGAGCGTGAAAATATTAAACTTATGTACAAAATGGCGCCCTATGACACAAATTTTCTTGAGAGTTCACAACCTTATAACCCCTAAACCATTAATGTGACGTATAGGTTTTATGATTTCAATCATTAGTTAAAACTATATATTTATTGGATAACAACTTTTGGAAAGCCGGTCGTCTTTTTTTATAACTTTATTGATCAATAAAAAAGTACATCAAACGGCCGGCAGCAGTCGTTGATGAGCAAATTGTCTCGCGAGTTTACGACCTTTATAACCCCTAAACCTTTGATGTGACCTACAAATTTTATGATTCCAGTAATTAGTTCAAAGTATATATTTATTGGATAACTACATGTACTTTTGGGAAGTCGTTGTTAGGAAAAGTGACTAGACATTAGGTCGACACCTGGCGAAAGTAGGCCTATGACTGAATGAGGTAAAGGATAATATTGGAAGTTAAAAACACGTATATTACACCAATTGGAAATAAACACAGGATTATGCAGGCTGTTTCGTAACCTGGCTGTTTCGTACTTAGTTCATTCATACCTCACTTCGTACCTCAGATTGATTCGTAACTTTGTTGAAATAAAGGTGAAACATGACGATTTAATAATATCCAACTGCTATGCGAATTGAATAAAAATGGCTGCAACACGAACTTTATAAAAAAAAATGGCTGCTAGCTGCATGAAATTTATAAAAATGGCTGTTGAACCAGAATTAGAACTTCAAATCGATTTCATTCGTACTTTATTCAATATGTTGTGGAAATAAATTAAAAATAAGTTGAAATAAACATATAGGAAAATAAAAGATTGACAAAAAAAAATCCAAACACTGCTATCTGCTTTTTGTTGTTTTTAATCTGGTGTTGATTACTGAACCCATTCTGTCGAGTGAGTTCTGATTCTTGACGATAATTGATTGGCGATTGTTAAAGCAATTGAAAAGCGATTGAAAAATATTTAATCTCGTATTGATTATAGAGCCCATTCTGTTGGGTGAGTTGTGATTATTGACAATGAGTTGTGACTATTGACAATGATTGATCAGCGATTGTTAACTTCAAAGGGTCATCCGGCAGCACAAACGGTTGTATGTTGTTGTTGATTTTGAAAAAGGTCTATGGAAAGCCCTACCGAAACTTTTCCCACAGGCCATCTTCAGGAAAATTCAAAGGTCTGGTCTGGCTGTATGGTACAATTGTAAGGGTAGCACCTACAGATTCTCCCGTAAACTTATGTTCTTACCCTTCTTACCCATAGAACACATAAAGCCGGCATTTAACAAATTAAAAGATAGCGTGCCAGGTTACCTGCAGACAATAGTATACTACATAGAGAAACAATGGATCAACAGTAGAACATGGCCCATTGCAAGCTGGTGTGTCTTCATGCAAGCTTAGTTCTTCGGATGAGATGGAAAATCGAGGTCCCGTGTAAACATTGGAATGCACGTTAAAGATCCTCTGGCAGTTGGAATTCGATATAAGAGTAGGTGATAGTGCCGCTGCCCGGGCAAAATTTCCCTCATAGCAGAGTGTATGGCGTATGCCCGTCTTCATTAGCCCAGTATAGGATCAGAACAGTAGGACGTTAAACCCCATTTCATTTCATTTTATTTCATGCAAGCTATACAAACCAGTAATGATGTGGAGATTTGGCACAACGATCTAAATACCCAAGCAGTTATTGCCAATCCTCCATTTTACCTACTCTGTAGCTTGCTGCACAAAGAAACATCGGCATTATGAATAGGTCAAGTCTGTTGTTAATTAATCTTCTTCATCGTCTCCATCTTCAGTTGATCCGTAGGGTGAACGAACTTAGGTATTTGGGTTTAGGTCTCACGCTGTCGGCCGCCAAAGTCGCAATTTGCGATAAAAAAATGAAAGTGGCTATTAAATTTGGATTTTGGCGATAAAGTTTTGGGGTGCTGGCGATTCTTTTTTAGAAGTGGCGAAAAAAAAATCTTAAAATTCTAATCGTATTTATCTTGGTTAACCATTTTTATGTTGAGTGTCAATCACGAGCGCATATCGGCATTACCATAAATCAATCAACTTGCTGATTAATACTCCCGAACGTGTCAATTAGTAGTGCTACACAACTGTCTTAGATTGATGGTGTCAGCTGATTGATAATTGACGATAATAAAGTCTATCTCAAGTCATTGGT